TCAATCGCCCTTGAGGGATCACAAATCACTAACAGATGTTTAAGATTGTTTAAGTCTCCCGATATTCTAACGTTGTATTTTAATTTAGTATTTTACCAAGGCTGTGACCTCCGTTTTCTTCCAAGGAGCGTCCGACGGGTACCCCATCACACCGCAACCCCCATTTTTTCCCCCAAATCCTCCAAGGTGCCCTCCAATCGCTGCCCCAGAGATCTATGGCACGGCCGTAGGAGCGCAAAACTTCTTCGAGGGTCCTGGGAGCTGGGGAAATGGTCGAGCTGCGCTCAGGGCATAGTTGGATGATGTTAGATGAGTTACCCTCTGGTTATTTAACATAGCCATGGAAAGATCCACCATTTTTAAGAACGGTAAACCATCTATTTCGATTAGGGCCATCTATACCATAGCGAACTGTTAGTCATAACCAGAGGGTAGATGGGCCATGGTCAAGTTCCAGATGTGGGGGTATGGTCACCTCAGCACTTCCGTGGAATTGTGGGGATGACCGGCCCAAACAAAAAAATGTAAAAATACGCTATGTTTTGACTGCACAGATGGGCCATGGAGTCAGTTACCTGATTGATAAATGATTAATTAGAACCAATATGAACCAATCATAATCTAGTTAATCTAGTTGTAAGCGGATAAAACTCAACCAGTTGACTAACTTCATGAATCTTTTTGTAGGCGCTATCTGGCTATCTACGCCGAAGGCATGAGGAAACACATTCACAAAAGAGACATAACTTGATGATCTTGATGTAACGAAGAATCCATGGATGGATATGATGGATATGATGGATATGATGGATATGATGGATATGATGGATACAGTATCACCAAGGGCATGGAATCCATATGGAATCCATGGAATATGGCTCACCATGTATCACCCTGCAGCGATTTTTAAAGCACCAACCACTGGGTGCTTTCATCCCGGTGGGTTCCATCAGCCCTGGCGTTCGCATTGAAGCCAGGCTTCTGATGCCTCTTTGAGAAGTTCAGGTACGACAGCCACAAGTCCATGTTGGGCCTCCACGAAGGGGGACGAAAAAGGGGAGGGGATGGAGGGGGGAGGGGCCATAGGGCCGGGGGCTGGAAAATCATCAGGAGTTTCCAAGGCCTGGTTTATTATCAGAGGGTATCGGAAAATGTCTGGTTGACAGTTGAAACTCCAGCTGTTTGAGTGCCATGGTTTAATAGAAATACTATCACGCGCTTCAACCAATCCAGTGACTATTCTGATGAACTCTGAAATTGGAAAGAATCAGAAACTTGATAAGGTGCTCAATAACTCGAATTTCTATAAATTTCTATGCTCCCGATTGATCAACGAGTTTTGAGATCCCTTTAAGCCCGGCAAAGTCACACGGAGCTCCACCAAATGTCCCTTCAATATGATTCTGAGATTCTGTGCTGGTGAGGCTCTCCCTTGAGTCGAGGGAGCAAACATCAGAAACAAGGTTAGAGAGAGATTTAGAGGCAATATGATCATAGGGTAAGAGGGAAATGGAATGAGATAGTCCGTGATCAAGATTACTTCAATCTTATGGTCATTGTAGTTGTATACCATGAGAAACTTATCAAATGACAGCCCCAGAGGTACCAGCTTCAAGGGCCCAAAGATTTTCCAAGGTGCACTTGCTGCAAACAGCGACTGTAGACTCCAAGCGCCATGGCTGAGTCCTGGAAGTGAATGTTGTAGTTTTTTCCTTATACAATGGCGCATAGTATGGTAAAGGATAAGCAAATGGTATTACCTCAGATTCTGATTCAAGCCAATTTGGGAGATGAGTTGATGAGATTCACGATTCACGCGCACATGGGCCGTAAAATGGTTCCTAAAGCACCAGAGAGGATTCCGAAGGTTTCTTTTGGCCGGGTTTGATATATTCCTCTATCTGTAGCATCTGATCTAGGCCTAGGCGACCAACCAAGCTTCACCCATCTTCGCCCTCCCAACAAACGCCTTTCAAAAACATGTGGTTCAGTACGCCAAGACCATCCCAAACAGAAAAACAAGCTGGTTATCTACCAATTCAAACGCCAACATCGTCACCCCAAGAAAGAATCCTGACATAACTTCAAACACAAATTGATCCCCCCAAGCCCCCAAGTACCAAAAATCATCAAAAATCCACCCAGCAACCAGCAGTAACCAGCCCATTTTGCCACGAAAAGTGGCAACCCTCCGGGCAGCGGTTCCCCACCTGCATCTCGGACCACTCGGCATAGGCCGCCCAGATTCGCGCCGCAAAAGGCAGTTGCTTCACAGCTCGTTCGAAGACCGGCTCAGCCTTGCCCTCCTGGAGAAAAACCATGTGATACCATGTGCTTGTGTTCTCAAGTCATAAGTTTGGCAAACATTGATAAATTATACCCTCTGGTAATTTAACGTAGCTATTGAAAATGGTGATTTATAGTGGATTTACCCATTGAAAATGGTGATTTTCCATAGTTATGTAAACGTTTACCAGAGGGTAATAAAGCATGATAAAACCCAAAGCCATAAAACCATGATAAGACCCATTGAAACCAAATCAAAAACCCAATGTCAAGCGTAACTTAGGGCTGTTTAACATACCATAACCATCCACAACCCCTATTTTACAGTTATATTATGTTATACTATGTTAATATTGGAATTTAGATATGGGATATACTAATTATATTAGTTACAAAGCCCATGGCTCACAAACGATATGAGCGCCCCCTCGCGATGGCCAACACAGGCGAAGTGGAAGAAAAATGCTTGAACTACTTAAACTCAAATCCGGTGATTTACTGATTTGGGGATGATGAACTAGCCATTTAAAAATTTAAAACTAGAATGACTCAATGACCCTTTTATCATTAGGTGCTAAACCGATCTTTTACAGATTAACCCACATGAAAAATGGTGTAAAGTGAGGTTTAACCTATCATTTGGTTATTTAAGATAGCCATGGAATATCACCATTTTTTATAGGTAAACCATCTATAAATGGGCCATTTTCCATGGATGGCTACGAAAAATATGAAAGTCAATTGGGATGATGACATTCCCAATATATAGAAAAATAAAAGCCATGTTCCAAACCACCAACCCACATCAAAAATGATCATTACCCATCATTTAGTGAGATTACAGATTACAGATGCACCCACCATTATTAGTAAAGTTTTACATTGATTAAATCATGGGTAATGATGGATTTAACCATGGGTTTAACCATGGGTTTAACCTCACTTTACAAATTAATTGCCATAGGTTTAACTTTGCTGATGGCTTTAACCATGGCTTTACCCCATAGAAATAGATGGTTTACCCTCTGGTAAACTAACATAACTATGGAAAATCACCATATTTAATGGGAAAAACCACTATTTCTATGGCCATTTTCAATAGCTATTTTGACATAACCAGAGGGTACCTATAAAAAATGGTGGATCTTTCCAAACCACCAACCAGGTATCATGGCTACGCCTCGGTCGTGCCACGCCTGGATCGCCTCACGCAGCCGCGCGTCCCAGGCGCCCAAGTCGTAGGGCTCCGCCTCCAGGGCGGCCTCCAGCCTTGGAAAATGGGGAAAAAAAACGCCCAAAAGGTGGTTTTAGATGGTATATGGCAGTGTGTCAAAACCCTTGTACCCCTGTAGTTCACATCAAAAATAGCTGGGATTTATGGATGTTCATCCCACTAAACATGGTATTAATAGGTATTGATCCATACCCATATTATGGTACAGTACCCCCATTTTAGGATCCTGAAATATCCTGAATTTCCCAACTTTTCTTCGGAGTTCGATGGACTTTCCGAGGATTTTCTTGGAAATGTTCAGTTATTTTTGGATGATTTTCTCCATAAAAGAATGATAATTTTGGTGTCTTGGGAAGTCTTGGGGTGTGTTCGACATTTTTGATATTTTTGATGATCACTTCCTGATTTGTTGGGCATACTCAATTGTACCAATTGGCTCGATCAGAACTTGATTCATTTGATTTGTTTGACTCAGTTGATTTCATTTGTATAAATAGTTGTGGCAGATCTGCTTGGATTATAAATGAATTATATAATCTGACTTGTATTGGACTCAGTTTGGTTGATAAAATTCATAGTTGTTTGATTATCATAATTATCATCGATGTGATGGGTTCTGATGTATTATGACTACCTGAACGTATCTTTGTTGATCGCATGATCTTTGATCTAACTAGTTACAATGATTCTTCACGGGTGATAACATTATGTTTCTTTACTGGCGATGATACGATATCACCATGCCTAAAAAAATACAAAACAATACCAAACAGCCATCCATTTCCATGTTTCAATATGTTTCAATGGATTGGTTTTCTTGGGCAAATCACCGGAAACCAACCATAGCTGCTATCCCATCTGGTTATGACTAACAGCCAGTTCGCCATGGAAAGATCCACCATTTTTAAGAACGGTACGAATCATCTATTTCGATTAGGGCCATCTATACCATGGCTAGCCCTGTTAGTCATAACCAGAGGGTAGGGTTTTCCTGCAAATTGTCCCTTAAACCATTTCCATGTTACATGGAAACGGGCCCCCCCCAACATTCCAAAAACAAAAGCGACGCTTTGACGCGCTCCGCAGGCGGTTGCACGGACAGCTGCGTGCCTGCCTTGCAGGGGTTCATGATGCTTATCAATGGTGATTAGTAGTGATTAATAGTGAAAGTCACAGTGATTTTGATAGTTAATAGATGTTAATAGTGATATTAATTAACAGAGATTTAGAGATCTTGATGGTGATACTTGAAACAAATGCTGATTCATAGTGCGGGAGAAGTAATGGTGATTATTTAACTGTGATTTCCAGTTTTCTAAACGAATTAACCCACAATCAATCTGAGTAGGAAATAGTGACTCAGAGTGGTGAAGCCTTGATCAATATTTAACGATTAGGAAAGCCACAATCACCTTGAAGCATCTTGAAACCAACTTGATCAGCAGAGAGTAACCCATGATTTATAGTGATTAATGTTAATATTAATGTATCATGATGTATCACTATCTAAGCCGGCAAGAATGTGATACGATTTTGGGCAAATCGGATTCGTCAACAGAGTTTCTGTCAAGCCACCGGCGGGATATGGATTTGCCGATTTGCCATGCGATGGGCTGCAGCTTTGAGTGCGGCAGCTCAGTCGTCCCAGCAGTGATGGTTGAGAAAATATGGGAATGTCATTCTGAATGTCATACTACATCAAATCTGAAAAATTACCAAAGTTACAGGGCAGACATAGTTTCCCCAGACTCAATTCTGTGTTTGTGTGCATTCAAGCTTCTGGGTGAACTAATGAAATGGGCTTGCCGGCTTGCCCCTTGAATTCCTTGCCAATGAAGATCCAACCATAATTTATGGGTCTGTGGCTGGTGATTTTGCCCATGCTAGGCTCATCACTTGGAATCATCGAAGGGCGTATGGAAAACAGAATGAAACTACCGAGCAAAATGAGTTTCAATGGCTTTCCATGGTATCCCATTTCGGGTTTGCTCCTCTATTGTTGGAAATGAAAGAGATTCAGCCATCTCTAAAATCCATGAAGAAAGATTCGCCAAGTACAAGATGTACAAGTTTCATATACCATCCCAATGCCAATGACAAAAATTGGACGTATGCTAGTATGCCCACTCAAAAAAAAAAAAACTTCAATCCATTTTCCCAAGCTCTAAAAAAAATCCCCCAGCATTTTCCCCCTTGGGGCGTTTCCCCCAGCCTTCACCAGGCCAGGTTGGACGACGCCCGGCGCCGCCGGCGCCGCCGGCGCAGGCGCAGGTGTGGCGGGTGCGGCTTTCACCGTGGCGGAGGCCAGGGAGGCACCTGGGAATCAGTCGCCATTGGTCATTTAACATGGCAAGATGGAAAATGAATGAAAAATACCATCTTGAATGGGTAAATTATAGCACATATACTATCTGGTTATGACTAACATAGCCATGGAAAGATCCACCATTTTTAAGAACGGTAAACCTCTATAAATGGGCCATCAATACCATGGCTATGTTAAATAGCCAGAGGGTAAGTGTAAAATCATCGATTTCTATTAGGGCGATTTCCATGGTGCTGTGGAAATTACCAAGGGGTAGCTGCAGGAAACCGTGGGTTTTTTGTTTGCATCAAATATGGGGAAAAACCGCTGGATGTTCCCTTGAGCATCCATGAAAGTTCACTGGCTGGTGGTTGGACATGGCATCCACCCACGAAGGTTGATTGGGGGGATAAGATTCGCAGCGTATCAATTGCAAATGTCCGCGAATATAGAGGAAGCAGAAACAGTGAACATGAATTTTAGCATGAACGCTAGTCTTTATCTGATACACCTTTTGCAGTTCGGAAGTTCTTGTGAATTTGTGACAGTAAAACGGTAATTGTATACTTCATAGTTTGAACAAAGGGCAAAGCATCAGCAAGAAAACATGTTTCTTCTTTCTTGCAAACACCAAAATTGTCAAAATGATGAGGAAACCTCTGCTTGTCACTTCTTCCGGTGATTCTCAGGTTACACCAAGTTTGATGTTGCCAGTCTGTGCCAAGTAGCTCTTTGGTGTGGTCAAGGCCATGGCTCTTCGCAATGGGTGTCTTGAATATATTCTAGATCAAATGGCGGCGAAATTGAACTCCCTGGGGTGCCAATGGTTGATGTTCCACATTTGGTTCCAGGAAAAAATATGTTCTGGGTGAATCGAGGGCTTCGAACAGATTCAGAACCCTACTAGTTTCTTTTCTCAGCGGCTAAGATGGAGTTTGATGGCACGTGTGTCTGTAGGTGGGATGAGGGGCCGACTTGACCCTTTCAGAAGATGTTTTTCCCTTCAATGAAGAATTGGGAAGCAGTTGAGTTGACTCTGTTGGCAGGGCTGTCTGGAAACCTCTTCTGCACATCTCAAGCATTCGCAGGCCCTGCGCGCTATGGTACGCGCCCTGCAGAGAAAAATGGCCGGCGAAACGGCGACATGTCACGTTTGATGAAGAACACGCTTCCAGTCATCTTCCGGCTAGTTTGATGGGAAACCCATGAGAAACCCTCCCCGAACACCAAACGCACCAGGCCCCTCTCAAACACAGCAAGAGAACAGATTTTTTCCGTAGCTACGCCGTAGCGAAGTATCGAGCAGCTAAGTTCCGGTATTTCTTTTGAATTGGATCACGTGTGACCTGCAACAATGGTGTTTGCATATGGGCAGTATGTAACTATAGTCCACAATTTCACCTCCTGTCGGAGCTGAAGTCCGAACCAATCCCAAACTACTGTGGTCTGTAATAAGCACATAACCATTTGACCAGGCTGCCCTGAGCAGGGCGGGAAAATGCTGTCTAAAGATGTCTAAAGAGGAAAAAAAAAGTTTTTTTTCTCCCCCGGCGGCTATCATTCACCTGTAATGGACTGGGCCTACTAAATATCCCATAATCATCCATCAATCAACATAACTCCGCGCTGAATTTCGGATTAGAATTATTAGAATCCCCAAAATAGATTTACCATCTGGTTATTTAACACAGCCATGGAAAGATCCACCATTTTTAAGAACCGTAAACCATCTATTTCAATGGGCCATCTATACCATAAAAGGTCCATGATCATCCAATTGAGCCCCCATCGAGCTGAGTAGCAAGAGTCCCACGAAGTGAGAAGCGCAGCTGGGCGGGCCTCAAAAAGAACCAATGGTATGATATCGTTGGATTAATCATGACTGGTTGGTGGTTGACCTACCCCTCTGAAAATATCAGTCAGTTGGGATGATTATTTCCAATATATGGAAAGGTAAAAAATCTTCCAAACCACCAACCAGATGATTAATCATAGCAACATGAATTGTGAAGTGTAGATTATAATTCAACAGTGATAAGTGATATCAATAAGTACTTGCACTTGTAATAGTTTTAAAAAAAATGTAAAATCCTCCCATATATAGCAACAATATAGATAGTAAGAATGACATAACAACAAAACAACAAGAGTAAAAAATAATAATCACAATTCTAAGTAGTAAACCATGATGGCCCCTTCGGTTGTCGCAATTCTGTCCTACCATGTTTCCTGAAGCTAGCTGGGAGAGTTTCTTCTTGAACATTCAGGCTCCACACATTGCATAATGCATATAAGATTATAATAGATTATATACTGGGATATCTATGGATATCTGGGATCATATGGTTTTTGTTGATATCATTTGATGTCATTTGATATCACTACTCCATATAATCCATATAGCCTGGCTATATTGGTTCAATACAAAAAGCGCACGAGGCGTGATGAGATCAACTTTTGAATCCCAGGCCGGTCCCAGGCCTGCAAGGCTCGACATGGCGGTGACATGGCAATCCACGAGACTCGGTCAACTCAATCGTCCACTGGTCTAATGATGGTTAATGATGGTTAATGATGGTTAATGATGGTTAATGATGGTTAATGATGGTTAATGATGGTTGAGATATATATGTATACTGGTTGGTGGTTGACCTACCCCAACCTGAGAAATCATGGAGTGAGTTCGTCACTTGGGATGATTATTCCATTCCCAACTCCCAATATGATGGGAAAGTCATAATCCAGCCATGTAAACCAGTCACCAACCAGCAATAGTTCACTGAGCTGATCAAAAACTTCCCAAATTGGTGACCCGTTTTAGCCATCGGATCATCCACCAAATAGTGGTGCTGCTGCCGCTGCTGATGACGACGACTACGATGAGTTTGTGTGGAAATATGTGTGCAGTAGGTTGCTGAACTTGATATGTGATTCTTCATATAGCTTCGGAGCAAGAACAAGGACCCCAGTGAGCTAAGATCTGCTGACCAGTTGAACCGGAAAGCCGTGGCGAAAGTCCTCACCCGCCATGGTCACCGCCATGGCGGAGACTATCACTTCCGGAATGGATGTAGCCGGTTTGAAAGGTTTTCGAGCCCAAATCATCCAAATCAGATTTCAGTCCTTAGTCCTTAGTTTCCGTTCAATTTGATGTTACTCCCCATTCACCTTTCAGGATGTCCAAGACTTCCCCAGACAAATTCGAGCCGCGCATCTCAAACCACCGAGCTTTTTGTCACCAAACCGGCGCTGTGGACGCCCTCGGGCGTCCTTGGTGAAACTGGCGGGGTGTTGCACCGCTGTCCTGCCAAGGTGAAATTTGGGATGGTGTCTGCGCCGGGTTTGCCACAGAAAGCATCACAGAAAGCATGGAAAGACTATATGAAAACATGTTGACTCTTTTGTTTTTCCTCCACATGTTCAGCAATTTTTCAATCTTAAATAACCAACATTAACCAACCCCCATCAGTGCGGACTCCTCCGCCCGGAGCAGTCGTTAGAAGAAAGCAGGCGTGGCTAAGTGACTGGTCTTCCCGGTCTTCTTCGAGGCTTGCTGCTCCATGCTCTCCATGGAACTCACCTCACAGGTCACAGACTGAGGAAAAGCCCGACCCAATGGATTTCTGATGCAAATAGAATAAAAATATCATGTGCATTATGTATATATATATATTTATTTATTTATTTATAATATTTATTTATGTAATTATTTTGTTAAATATAATTATTTATCTATTTATCTATACTTATTTATTCATTCTATATGTATACTATAGTAGGTAGGGGGAAAGGAAAACTTCGAAGCTAGGAGGATAAGGAGGGCATTGTTCAGCCAATCTTGATGAAATGAGAACAGGACCACAGGACCCCAATGCCTCGATCAAACAGGTAGAAGATGCAGCTTTTTGTTGGACGAACATCTACCAAACATGAGAACATCCAATCTGAATTGGTCAGAGCGAAGGTCAAACCATTTGAACATAAGGATTTGTGTGTGGAAAATTCGGGCCACATGCAACAACTGTAATGGTTGACAGTGATCTTCGTCGTTTATACTGAGAGATTCCGTGAAAATGGTAGGGTACTCCAAGCTGGTTAATAAACCTTCATCAGCGGTATTGGCAGCACTGCTCAAAGAAGTCACCTTTCCTTTCTTGATCATGTTGTCGATCTTTTGCCACTGCTGATTCTCACTCATCTTCCGCTTCTTCGCTTCCTTTGTTGACAGACGAAGTATGGGACATGGCAAGTCAATTGGGAAACTTGACGAAGGGGAACAGTAAGCCTGTGAAAACGGCATGAGACCTGCCCAACATAGGTTTAGTTCTGGTTTCTTATGTTTCTTCTTACTGGTGGAAAGGGTCGTCACCCTGAAAGACAGACATCGAATCTAACTTTACTTCAAGTTGGATGTGTTCTCCAATCCTGCAAGGTATTCGCACAGTATCATATCCCAGAAACCCTCCGACAGGGTCTGAAACTTGGTATTGCAAGCCGCAATCTATCCCGCAGCAAGTTGCACGATCTAGATGTCGGAACATGTTGGAGGTGGCTACCAAAATATCCTCCCCATCACCCCTATCAGACATCACCGGTAAAGGGTGAGTTTCTCCTCCCCAGCTCTCAGCTATTCTCGGCCAAGACTCCGCCGCGGCGCCCTTTTTGTTGGCGGCCACGCTATCCTCGTTGATGGCCTTCTTCTTATCCGCGCCCTTCTTCTTGTCCTTATCCTTCTTCCTGAGGGGGCGATCTGAGGGAGACGCAAGACATCGCAAGACCGTTTTTGTTCTCAAAGATGATCAAGGGTGGCAAATGGAACAGAATTTTGAAATGCACTAAGACGTGGAGAGCCCATATTTTTTTTGCATAGCCTGAGTGGCCCATCAGGCTGAGGCATTTAGCTCTGTGAGCGACCAAACAATTCTAGAACAAATCCAAGACCTTGTTTTAGAATCTTCAGAAAAGCATTTGACTGGTTTTTACCCTCTGGTAAACATATTAAAAATATAGGAACAAACATCTGACCATTCAAACCATTTTAATAGCTATATTAGTAATTACCAGAGGAAATTCCGTGAAAATGGTTATCCTCCAAGTAGGTTTCCCAATAAACCTGGGAATCCGTGGGAGCTATGGGAAACTCAACACTTAAGTTCACATAATGCCGATGTGGTAAACCCTGGCTGCCACAAACCATCCCCAATTCATCACCATTTCTATGGGATCTGAACCATATTCTCCAAATGGTAGCTTTCTGCCCTTCTTCTTGTCCTTATCCTTCTTCCTGAGGGGGCGATCTGAGGGAGACGCAAGACATCGCAAGACCGTTTTTGTTCTCAAAGATGATCAAGGGTGGCAAATGGAACAGAATTTTGAAATGCACTAAGACGTGGAGAGCCCATATTTTTTTTGCATAGCCTGAGTGGCCCATCAGGCTGAGGCATTTAGCTCTGTGAGCGACCAAACAATTCTAGAACAAATCCAAGACCTTGTTTTAGAATCTTCAGAAAAGCATTTGACTGGTTTTTACCCTCTGGTAAACATATTAAAAATATAGGAAAATCACCATTTTTAATAGCTATATTAGTTTACCAGAGGGTAGGTTATCCTGTAGATTTCCCACTTCTGGGAATCCGTGGGAATATCTTTTCAGCCGATGTGGTTCCACAGATCTAACCATGGCAGGTTTATTATTATCCACCAGGGCTTGCTGACGGATTACTGGCAAAATGGGCTGTGACGAGGATCTTGTCATCCTCCTCATCGCTGTCATCGCTGTGCGTTGTCATCATGGCTCCACCCATCATGGCGCTTGGGAAGAGCTCATCATAGGCGTCGTTGCCTTAAGGGTTGATCCATGGCGTGGAGTAGTGAAAGGTTATAATCATATTATAACTATATTATATATGCATGATTATGCATGTACATAATATATATATATACCTATTTTATGTATAATGATGTGTATATATATATATTTATATATATACATAGTTATATATGTATAATTATGGTATGCGTGTGTGATTACAAGCTCAACAACGTGACTGAAAGAAATTAACAAATGTAATTTGGCCAGTCAAACCTTGCAAGATTCTGCGAGTGATTTGGGATCAAAATTCCACAAGCTGACTGGAGTAGCGAAATATGTGGTTAGCTTTTGCTCTTGTTACAGGACAATCTGACCCACCCCGGCTAACCAGTCAAAACCCTGCATGCATCTTAAAAGAAGCTAGACTATATCATCACATAATAAGGGGTAATAAGAGGCATACATAACACCGCCCCAATAGATCAAAAAACAAACAATTTCCGTTGCAAATAGTGAACTGTAAACTGACTTTAAAGTTGTCCAACCATTTTCCAACCATTTTCCATGTGAAACTACACCTACTACTGTAGTAAATTCCCGTTGTTCCCCTTTTCCCAACATGTCCAAGACATGTCCACCCCGCCAAGACGCCTGGATTGCCCATGCCCTGTGGTCCGCTGCTGGCTTTGGCCTTTCGCTTCCGTGGGTCCTTCTCCACCACTGGCGTCTCGACCTTCTTTCGCGGTGGCACTTCCTGCGCCCGAAACGCGGAAACGCCCTCTTTTCCACTGGGAAACTAGATAAACATGGAACTTTTAGATACTTGAAAGCCATGGTTTCTCATATTCATGATTTCAGGGCGGAAAGAATATTTGTCAATAATTAGCATAGCAACTTCCCTGACGTAAGCATATGTTTATAGTGTTCATCATTTTAGGGGGAATATAACTGTCAGTTACCACGTATACCATATCAAGTATATTCGATTATGCCATGAAATTGTAACCCCTGACTTGTCAACTACAATTTTTCCATATCATGTGTTTGGGAATAATTCTCATCAGTCCGTAGTTATCATCGAAATTGCCATGATAATCCATTATATACATGTAGATGCAAAATAGTGATACATACGTATCTACAATTTCTATATACTGAATATGGTGTATGATCATGTATAATCTATAGATTTTCTGATATGATTAAAAAAACTCATATCACCATATTCATCATATTATTATATATCAAAAACACATAAAAACATATATATATATATATATCCATATGTCATTATATCATCATCATATATTACAGTTGTCCAAAATTTCCAGCCTGGGGACTGGCGAAAAAGTCCTGCCCTGGCCACGCCTCGTAGTATCCTAAGCCTTGATCACCCAACTTGAAGACCCAGTTCTTCCCTTGGCGGCAAAATTAAGGTCGGTAGCTGTTTAATTTAAGGTGCTTGTTTTCTTAAAAAAATCTAAGTGCTTGGATTATGATAGATTAGATATAGTTATAATATTTTATAATTATCTATACCAAAAAAAAAAACGCCGCCCCATCTGGCTTGTAACATGTATGCGTTTTGTCTCAATTCTATTGCTTTTTCAGACCTATCGAAGTAATGAACTAGTTGATGGGATGAACCTGGGATGATTTTTTTATCGACACCGATCCATTTCTGCCCCAGCGGCTTGCGCCCTTAAATCTCTTGGCGGCATCGAATCGCCCCGTGGGTTTGTGGAACTGACCAGGCTCCAAAGTCGATTCCTGCCACGTGAAACACGGGGAGCTGTCTGATGGCTGCAATGTGAAACTTGTCCCAGGATTGTTTTTCCGGAAGGGGAAAAATATGGAAAAACCTGCCAAAAAATGCTGGACAGCATCAATGTGTTCACGTATGATGTAGATATTATCTGAAAACTAACCCAATGAATCCAGCACGTACGAAAGTTCAACCGGTTTGCGGCAAAAGTATGGATGAACAGATGAACAAATATCTTTCAAAGCAATTACCCTCTGGTAATTTAACATAGCCATGGAACATTACTATTTTTTTTAGGTAAACCATCTATAAATGGGCCATCTATACCATGGCTATGTTAAATAACCAGAGGGTATATAATTTCAATCACAGATATCCAGATGAGACTCGGTATCAGCTGCAGTTCTCCAACAAAAAAACCCTGCTGGGCGTGGGATGGTATGGGTGATTTTTTTAGGCCCACAACACCATAGATGTTGTTCATTTTTAGCAGCACCCAACGAATTAACATAGATACTTATATCATCTTATATCGAAACCCATCAAAAGCATTCAAAAGCCTCATTTTTCCCGGGGGAAACCTGCCGGTTGTCCATTTCCATATTAATTTCCATATATTTCCATGGTGAATCCTGGAGGATTCTCATCCATTTCTCTACCAAAAAACCCGACCAATCGGATGGTCCTCCACTTCGATCTCATCCAAGTCCAATTGACCCTTGGGAGTTTGGCCTTGGACCATTGGAGCACCGCCCAGCCGCCCGGTGCCATGGTGCCATGGTCATTGATGGTCGTCCCGCAGAATCCCAGGATGATCCGATCGGGGGGTTTTGAAGGAAGATATGGTTGGGAAATGTTGGGAAAATATATGGTTTTCATATAACTTCATATATGGTACATTCCATTTTTTTCATGGTGGTTTAATGGGATCTAGGCAACGAAAAGGTTCATAAAACGGTTCCTTCCTATTTTTTGGAGAAACAGCAATAAACAGCAATGAACCCCACTTCCTATAGCTATTAGCAGCTATTCTCATCGCTCCTGGCCAAGCTGCGGTACTTCTCATCGCCCGCATCGTCAAAGTAGGAGGGCTTTTTGACCTGAAACACATGGGCCCTCCTGACCTCCTGAGTACATGTCACCCCGGGATCAAACCAGTAAACTACTTAGATGAGCCATGGAGTTACAATAGTTGATCAGTTTTGTAAATTGGATCAGAATATATTACATAATATATTATACATATATTATATTATTACCATTGAGGATATCACTTGGGTTTGCAAATCCCCTGCAACTCCACCCTGGGCAAACTGGGCGAATTGGGCTAATTGGACGCCAGTTTCCATCGTGGCACAGCCCCAGTTGGATTAGATCATTTCAAAATGGATTTCAATCTTACTGGATAATGTTAGTTGCATATGATTGGATTGAGATGATTGAGCCTTGAGCAACCTATGATTTACCTAAATTTCATCTTCATCAGTTAATGTTTCATAGATGATTTCAATATGATGTCAGACTCAATCTTGCAATATACATAGTGTCTTACAACGTACAATGTCTTGCATGTGTGGTAGATGCCTTACCCCTCCGCCCCCCTTTTTGTCCGCCTTCTCCTCTTTTTCCTCCTTTTTCACCTCCAGCTTCACCTTCTCCTCTTTGATGCCTTCCTTCTCACGCTTTGCGGCTTGCTCTGCTCGCGCCTTCTGCACGAACTCCTCAGCCAAAGCATGGGATTTCGGTGGTCAGGTTGGGTTCAGCAGGATCCAATGACCGGGGATTGGCCATGCTGAGTTGGCACTGCCAACCGCTTCCTCATCCCAACTGCTTCAGGTTTGTTCTGCTCAAAAGCGGGTCCGAACTATGGATCTCTCAGCCTGCCACAAACAAACGGCTGGCTGTAGAGGTCTTCCATGTCTAAAAAGTGAGCGCTCCAAGATCAACACATCTTGCAGCTATCCACCTCTCCAGTACAAAATGGCATGTGTTTATCACCTCGCCAAAAAACTATGTGCCAACAAGCGTAGAAATGGTCATGTTTATCGCTTGAACTTACCCTTGGGAATGCTGCATGCGGAAATTGGCTTGACTGGATGTGGTTGGATGGGGTTTCCTAAAATGGGGATACCCCTAAATCATCCGTTTTTTTTGTGATTTTCATGGGTTTTCCATTATAACCTGATATATTTCATATAATCCATATGGAAAATCCATGAAAATACATATAATCCATGGATAATGGATCCCAAAATGGATCGTTTACAATTTTCATGGATTTTATGTATCCTTATATTGTAAACGATCCATTTTGGGATCCAATTTCTGGAATCCCCCATGAAACCATGGGCCATCTCCGAGAGTCGTTGGCGTCGAAGGATCCTGCCCCAGAGAAGATGTCGTTGTCGCTGTCGCGAGCCTGTCCCAAGGTGCTGCTTCGCATGGTTTTTTCCCAGTCCCCCAATATCTACTGATTGGTGGTTTTAACCATCTTGAAAAATATGAAAGTCAGTTGGGGTTACTATTCCCAATATATGGAAAACCTTTTTGGCTTTGTTATACCCTCTGGTTATGTCAACAGTTTGCTATTGAAAATGGCCATAGAAATAGTGGATTTACCCATTGAAAATGGTGATGTTCCATAGCTATATTAAATTACCCGAGGGTAATCTCAGTCCCCTCATATTCAGCCCCTATCGGCCCCTATGATCCCAAATATGTGTTGATAAAAACCCTACTAAATCCATGGTTTTTGAGGTGTTTTGTAGCACTGGCCGAGGCAAAATGGAAGATTGATTAATCATAGCTGGAAGGTGGGTGAAGCACCTTGCTCCCCAGCAGCGAACTGTTTCTTGATTTATATCCAAAACCTTGGCTCCAAAGCAAAACATAGCTCTGGACAAATGCTCAGATGCTCAGACTCTGCAACATGTTGACCATTCTTGATGAACATCAAAAGACATACAACATCTTCAAAAAAGAATCAGTGGAACATTAACCGTTAGTTATATATAATTATATTATATAATTACATATATATATATGTACTCCATTTACCTATTTTGACAAACTATGGCCCATCTTGGCGCCTTGACCCTGGCAACATCCACCTTTTGCGGGGCATAAGCGCTGACGCCTTGGGTGCGTGGGGCCGATCCCTGGAAAGCTTCAAAAAAATCCGAAAAGAAAAGGGGATTTCAAGGGGTTCACCAATGAACAACTGGATTTTGACATCATTTGACATGATTACGAATATGACTGATATGACATTTTTTGGGGCAGATAAAGATTGATAGAGTCTTCTTTTCCAGCATGTTTCATCGTTTTTTCCCAAGATCAAATCCGTCAAGGGCTATGCTATCCATTCACCATCGAAAGCACGAACACAATACAAACACACTCAACAATGATAGGCCCCTTTTAGAACCAGATAAGTTTAACAAGTTACATACCAAATCATACCAACCATACTCAGGAAAATAGAGCGTGCTCAGCTTCACTACCACATGACCCCCCACTCCAGTGCTGAGGTTGAGCACTTTGTGCCATCTGCTTTTCCTTCCGTTTTTTCTTCATCTCCGCTGCTTTTTGCATGGCATCCCGGACCTGGAACCCTGGAACTTGGTGGATTGGTAGAATGTGTCTATCGTCGTGTTGCCGGAAGCTGGGGCATTCTTATATGTCAAAGGAAAAGGGCTCAAACATGAGTTTCCTATCTATGAATGCTGGAGAAATGAGATGTAACAGTGTAACAAAATCATACGTGGTATCTGTGTCTGCTCGTCTTCCTAGGATGTGTGTTGAGCATTTGTTTGGGATCAACTGTTGCTGCACACCTAATGGCATCATATGGCATCTATATACATGCACAGCCTGTTCTCATTGACATCTCCTGGGAATATTTTGTAAGTTTGAAGAATCTGGACAACTTTTCTGGCCCGTCCAACTGATTCTGCCCCCCAAAAAAAGGAAAAAACATATATCATTTAATTTTGTTGATCGACATATTCTTTTTCTCTCATTCTCATTCCCATTCTCTCTCTCTCTCTCTCTCCCCATCGCAATTGAACATAGTATTTCATCAATGTAGATACGGCACGGATTAATTAATGAACATAAAGAATCGAAGAATATCATGGTTTTTTTTCATTGTTCTTTAGGTGTTCAAATCCAAATCACCGTTTCACCGTCTCTTAGCCCCAGCGCCCCAATTCCGTTGCCGGGTTGCTCGAACTGCGGTCTCTGGGAGCATGCCAGAAGTGGACTTGTTTCGTTCACTGGGGGCCACCTCCTGTCGGAGAGGAATCGTGGTGCCCTGGTGCCCTCCATGACTTTTTGGGAACCGGGGGAGTGAAAAGTTGGGGACTTTTACAGAAAATGAGCAACACAAACAACAAAATCATGTAGTGACTTACCCCCCAGTGATTTCTGCTGGCTGGACTTTGATCCAAGTACCAGGAGATGATTGGCCACTTGGCCACCGCAGGCTGCAAGTCTCGAAAGCCACAGAGGGATCCACTGGTCTTCTCAGGGTTTACCAGCAACGGTTCATCCCACGATCGCCTCATGTTATGAAAAATGTCAAAGACTAAGCCATTGCTGGCTGGGATGTACACATTGAACATTGAGCCCCCGGGCCCCCGGTTGCTCAACAGCCGGACCGGCTTTTGAAAAATCCGAAAAGCGATCACTTCACAAGAAACATCAACCATTGCTTACATATATATATATAATATATATATATACATATATTATACATATATACATATATTATATATATACTAGTTACTAGTTGGTGTTATTGAGTCTACCAAGTCTACCACATGCCCCCGGTATCCGGTATCATCAATCGCCTCTTTGCTCATGTACACGATTCTCGGGATATCCGTTTTGCCCATCCTGGGTTGGAAAAAGATTTTTGCCATGATGGAAAACCTTCAGAAAGTTTACATCACAGAGTTTCCCCTCTGATAAACATACATAGCTATTGAAAATGGCCCATTTATAGTGGATTTACCCATTGAAAATGGTGATTTTCCATAGCTATGTTAGTTTACCAGAGGGTCACTATTTTTTAGCCAAAAAACAAAATGTGTATTTCAACCAGCAAGATTGGAGTTCCAAAACAAAGGTGGAAGGTGGGCTTATTGAACCTCAGAATGTTCTATGACACTATGACCCGTGACCATTCTTGCCAAGAGCCGACACCTCAGGGCCCAAATTATCCCAAATTTATATGGCTATGGGTACTATGGGTCAAAACCCTGGCACCTCGTGAACCGCAAAATAGCTGGTAAATAAATGTTTATCTTACTAAAATTGGTAATAATAGGTTTTGACCCACCCCCATATATAACAATATTATACCATTTTTGGGTCTATGTTCCTGCCACGGTTTATTGCATGGCTAACCTTAGATAACCTGCAAAAACATGACGTTTTTCAGGATATGAACTATTACTATTACTATTCTCTCACTCATAGATCCAACAATCTGAAGCTATGAATCTTCTGGGATGGGCCATGGGTGCCATGGGATTGGCAAACTTGATCCGATTTTTTTACCTCAAAAAGATCTGATCCGAAAATGTAGCCACAGATATCCCCAATGACAATCTATTCAGTATCACTGGATTGGTTTAAGGGAAAATCTGCAGGAAACCATGGTTTTTACCATCAAATATAGGAATTTCCTGTAAATTTTCCCATAATCCAATTCTATGACAGTAACTACTTAACTACTTGACTAATTCCATGGCCCATCTAAGTCCCAGTTGCCTAGGTTTACCCAGGATGTAAGGCCAAGCAGCTCAAGCTCCGTGTCAAACTCATAGGCCATGCGCCCAGGTAGAAACATGGTGGGCGCATTGCGGATGTGATGCCCCTGGGCGGTAGTGATACTAATATCAATGGATTGGTTTAAGGGAAAATTTACAGGAAACCATAGAGTTTCCCATTAAATATGGGGCTTTCCTGTAAATTTTCCCTTATTCCAATCCATTGATAATATGATACACGTAATATGCATATACATCTTTTCATATATAACCAACGAATGTGTAGTTTTTTCTTTAGGAAAAATCAATGTGGATAAAATTGTTTGAATATGTATATGTACTATTGATACGTATATATGTGACATATCTAAATCTATATTCCGATATTCCCACTTGAATATTCAAAGCATAAATTCAATCACCGAAATATATCTATATATCTATATATATATACATATTATATATACTGTACATATATTCTGATGTTTCTTCCTGTCCCATTGAGTCTCATCTGCCTGCGCGATGGCTTTACCCATCCTCTGCACCCTCTCCTGGCGAGTGCGAGATGCGCAACGGAAGCTGCGGTGCCAGCCGCGATGGGAATCCAACAACTGGGATTGATCGGATTGATGATTTTAACATATTTTAACAACATTCTGGGGATTGATCGGATATCCCCAGCCACTAAAAGTTATATACGTTTAAATCATTTAAACATATTTTAACAACGATGTAAGAAACTGTACTCAGATGGGAGATGATTTTCCAGGTTGAGTCAGTGCAGTAGTTAGTTTTCAATAGTTTTCATGGATAACTGAGGAGAATTCGGTCAAAACCAGCCACAATCACCAGATAACATTCCGAATCTGGCTAAAAATCACCTTTGGTACCAACTAACTCGGTGGGTCATGGGTGGCCAGGAATCGTTTCCAAGAGGTAACTCAGGACTGGTTTACGAGTTACCATGGGAAAAAAGTATGGAATCTTGAACGGTTCGTGAAATGGAGATCAAGTGGCTAGTGCGGCTAGTGATCTGGATCAATTAGAGAATTAGAGTATATTAGGGTATGATCTAATGGCTATGATAGTTCACTAATAGTATGATAGTTATGAGAATTATGACATGATGATAGTTATGAGAATTATGATAGTATGATAGTTCACTAATCTCGAGCAAGGCCATTTGAGGATACTTGCCCCAGTCCATTTCCAATCATTCCAGTGCCTTGAAGGTACTATGGTGCGGATGCAGGGTATCGACCACTGTCAACCACACATTTTTCGCCTCACGGCGGGCTCGGGGTTGGAAGTCCCATAACTGGGGGATTTGCCCCATTTAGAAGTGGATTGTTGCGGTCCAATCGGCCGATGCAACTTTATCGTGGCTGGATTGATGGCTAGCGTTGTCATAGAATCCTTGGATAAGTTACGATTCAGCACACCTACTGACTGACACGGGAAAACTTCAGGGATCATCAACACAAACCACAAGTGACCTAACCCAGCGATTTTTTGTGGAAAGATACCTACAGGGAACCCCGGCCACAAATAAGGCCTCATTAAGTGCTTGTTCACCTCATCAACCCCAGTATTTGACCAAATATGTTGTACACATATGTACACATATGATTACATATGAGTGTGTGGTTAAGCAACCAGACATTTGGGGGCACACCTTGCTGCCGGGGACTTCAACCAAGGGGCAATTCGATTCTCAAAGGTGCGCTTGCCCTTCTCGCCCGGCTTTCTCTGCTGCTGCTTCGCTTTCCTCAGCTGGGTGCAACACCTGGATTTCAATGGGATCGTTACGGTGTTCCGAACATGGAACTTGGCCATGATATACCATGAAATGACATGACATTACGATTCAATTCTGTTTTCGCAAGTGTTTATGCTCAGGTTCAATGTATTTTTTCGTTAACTTCAAATCTTAATCTTAAATAATTACGAAACCCGACATCATTTGACTTTGAAGCGAATGTCCCCGACCAGCGGGGATTTCACTAACAATCCAAAATAATTTATGGAATTAGAACATGTACATTATATCCCCATGATATGAACGAAAATTATCATCTCTCAACTATACAACAACTCTGAGAATAGCCAACTTTTCGAGAGAATGGTCTTCCAGCCCCCAATTCATGGCAAAGTCTATGTATTTCTATGATTTTCTATGTTAATTTGGGGGATGGTAAGGACCATCCAACCCCTGTTTTCCATGTTGAAACTCTAGCCCTCCATGGGGTTGATATCCCATAAATGTCAACGTTTTTCTGGTCGGATCCTATTATTGTCGGTGTATACCCTCATTTTCCGTGGTATGGATTTAAAAACCCAACATACTGCAGTAGACAATTCCCATTATAACATATTATAACCCAATCATCTCCGTCAACTTTCTGGACTACTGTGAGTACTGTGGGAAACTCAATGCCATAAATACATATTATAATACATATAAATACCCCTAGCAGTTGGGTTATGGTAGGTTTATCTCAGCCTTTTCAAAATGGTGACTTGCGGATGGTAGGTTTGTGGCAACCAGGATGAGCCCCGAGTCCCAGATGTCCCAGCCTGGTTGGGTTATCAATCCATATAAATCCCATGAACCAAAAAGTATCATTTCATGTTATTTTGGGGTAAAATTGTAGCCTTTGGTCAAACCTGTCCTTTTTTTCATAACGAACTTAGTAAACCTATCCTTCGGAAGCATTGGGTTCCCAGTTATTTCATCACCTTTCCCCCTTGTTCGACTCGCGGGAAATTCATCCAGCGACTGGACTTCCTCCACCTTCTTCTGCTTGTTCAACTCTGCACGGACCTTGTTCAGCAGGGCGAAGTCAAGGCCCTTCACCAAATGCGTGTGCTCCAAGTCGCCTTCGAAAAGGCAGCCACGACGCCACGGGGCTGGGGTAAGCGGTAAGCTGATGGAATGATGGAAAGATGGAATGGTGATGTGTCAGACATCATGGGATGGATCTTAGAATGGTTCGTATATTACTGGGTAAACTATAATATTTCACTAACCTGAATTAAGGCCATTTGGGGATGATTTCCCTTATAAACCATGATTCCAGTGAGGGAGAACAGTGAGGTCGTTATAATTTACCCAGATAATATGTTCATATGATATGTTTGTATGCTGGATTTATAAGCAACTTTCTAATATGAGGATCAATGGATTGCGGGTTAAACATGGTTAAACCCTGGAATTAGCCAAACAAACGGGGTGTCCAACCGACGTTTCCATCAACCGAGGAAGACAATTGGGAGTGAGCCAACCATCGGGAGATCTCACAGGATTTAACCGCCGAAGATGAAACGTACGGATGTTTTAGCAAGAAAAAAAATGGTCTGGTTGCTGGTTTTATCCATCTTGAAAAATATGAGTTCGTCAATGGGAGGGATTATATATCCCATATATGAAATGGAAAATAGAAAATGTTCCAAACCACCAACCAGTTGTTGTATAGATGTCCTTGACTGTCCTTGTGCTTTTTACATGGGAAAAGGTGATCTGACTTAACCGACTGAGGGATTTAAACCTGATCCACAAAGGTTATGGGAGCAGGTAACCAGGAAACAGGAATTCACAATTAAAAAAGGGAATTAACATTGACATGATCCAACGGAATCTTCAACCATGGGTATCTAAGCAAAACAACTAACGGTTAGATATTCCAGTGATGCTCCGTCGAAATGGGCACAACAGCGGTTCTGACCAAGCGACAAGTTTGGACGTCAAATATGAGAATCACATCCAGGATGCATATGACCGCTAGCATAGTTAGCATAAAACCCTCACCGAATAAAACTGCTGCGCACGTAGCATAGTTAGCATAGTGGTGTTTGAGATTGGGGGATACCATTTAAGTATTGGATAAAATGACTATTGGAGTAGTAACTTCCCCAATTAATCAACCATGGTTTAGAAAAATCCAGGGTTGACATTCATTTATTAATCCCATTTATAGATGATTTTCCCATTAAACCATGGTTTATCAAAATCCAGGAATCCAGGGTTGACATTTTCATGGTGTCAACCACAACTCGACGCCGCTAGGCCGCCAGCCTCCCAGGTATTTGGATTGTTCCACTGAGACTTCACCATGGTTTTCGAATTCCGCAGCGACTTTCTCCTTAGCTCGGGATCGATGACCCTCAGCTGGGGTGACCAAAAATATGGCGATTTTCTCGAAAATATGGGAAGAATGTGGGAAGATCTGGGGATTTTCGGTTCAAGTTGATCACACATTGACATCCAGTTGCAGCATGGCATGCAAATCACTGCCGTTTCGAGGCGGAAAAAATGGCGTCACCACTGATAAACTCACTGAGATGAACCTTGGGTGATCGAATCCGCAGGTATTAGTTCAGCAGTGTTTGGGGTTCCCCAAAAGTCATATTTGTTCATGTTGAACTGCTGTTTCATTTTGATTTCATCTTCTAACAGTCCCTACCAGAAATAGGTCAAACGTAAAGTACGTTGCCTTGAGGCATCCTCACATAGAGGACAGAACAACTGTAAGGAAGCCGATTTAGTACATGGTTGGTAGTTGGCTTGTACCATTAAACATCGTGAAACCCACTAATGACTGGGAAATAGTATGCTCGCATATTCCCTCGAAGTAGGCATAATCCAACAAACAACGATGAACCCAAACAAGAGGCTTGTACCCAAGGCATCCCCACATCTCCAAAAATCGCCCAGCTTCGTATTCATCCTTCATGTCACGTCTCGCAGCTGCGCGATCGCGGTACTTGTTATCTTCTGCGGCCTGGGGCTGTGTAGATGAATCCTGGAGCCCCATCATCTGATGGAAATATGGATTGGTTATGGATTGCTTTGGAGAAAACCGCAACTAGTTGGTGTCATCAACAGCATCTCACTATCCCATTTCCATCACACCAAAAAAGGTCAGCAGCCAGCCAGGTCTCACCTTCTCTTCCTTTGCCAGGGCTTTTTGCTTGTACTTGGCGGCCCGCCTGGGTCTGTCAAGTTGCCTTGAGTTGTGATCAATGGAATCTCTTCAGCCTGATGTTTTTTTCCTCCCGATTTTTTTCTTCAGCCCTTTGATAAAGAGCTCCATTTATCTATAGCTTAAGTTACTTTTTAAGGCAAACAAATTACGAACCGTTGCTGGAAGCCAGGCATCTGACTTGCGAGGGAACGAAACGCCACCAGACCGAGGGCTTGTCGGTTTCGCCAGTGCATACGGCTTGCTGGCGGAACTGACTTCACCAAATCCACCACTGTTTTTTGGCGAATCTGTCTAAGATTCACACATTGTAGCACCCAAAAAAAACAAAAAAGCAAATTACATCAAATTACCACTCGTTTAGAAGGATTCAATTTTCTATTTTTTGGGGTGGTGCTATACGCTGATAAGCCGTTTGCTATCTCAAGTCATGACCCTATTATTAAGCGTTTTACCTGACCCAAACAGATGATACAACAAACATTCTTCCACAGTTCTTCCACTTAGACCCAATAACACACTCCATCCTCAAAAAAAAATGGCAGTTGCGTTTACCTCCAAATGGCCGGCATTGTGCCCGCGGACATCTTGGACCAAAAACCCCAGTGGACCACCAGGGGTTATCTCCGAGCAACGCGATGCGCGCAATGGCTTTGTCATCTTTGCCTTTGCCTTGGCCTTTTCCACCCTTCCCAGCGCCTGCAAAGGATACACCCAAGCCTGTGCCCCAAGTCCTGAAGAATATTAGACCATATTAAACCCGTGGTTTATGATGATGGTTTATGAGTATTTCATGGCAGGTCATAACAGGGATGGAGTATGATCGGATCATATCGGATCCCTCTCTCTCTCTCTGTTCATTTTCAGGGACATGATAAAGTGGGGATGGGATCATGAGGCTTTCAGACACACGACTTGGATGACAATGGCCTTTCAACAAAAACTGGGGATGTGAAATGTCAAACATGAGCATGGAAATGTCATCATGTGCTTTTAAAAAAAATGTCGCCCCTTCACCCCGAGACAAAATAGATTCCCCAAAATTGAATATAGATGATTATATAGATTTAATTATAGATGATTATATAGATGATTATATAGATGATTATATAGATGATTATATAGATGATTATATAGATGATTATATAGATGTACAAATAAATGGGAAATTCAGAATCATCGCAAGTCTTTCAAATATCATCCCCGCAACGACCCTGCCGACCCTGCCATGAGGTGGGGGTTGGTCAAACCCGTCAACGGAACCACCAACCACCACCTACATTTTTCATCGTGTTTCGTAGTTCAAAAAACAAAAAAAATATCTTGGATTTGCCTGGCCATAACAAATGAAACAGCTTCCCTACAGGTTCCATCTTTTTGGTGGATGAATCAGCGGGAATAAACACACACACACACATATATATATATATAGCAAGTCATCTTAAACATAGGAAATAGTATGAAATACTTATACGTCGGAATATATATATATATATATATCATGCTTCCGTACTTAAACAAACATAGGAAATCGTATGAAATAGTTATAAGTTATTATAACCTGAAAAATGTCCGCATGATTACTACCTGGTGGTTCGAAGCGAACAATTTGGATCTATGGATTATCTGGGGAGCCAAGGAGCTACGGCTTGAGTTTCCCAAGCACGTGATAGCCTAGAATATCTATCCATCCATGCTTCCATCTATATCTAAATGATAATATCCAGAAATTGGGCGAATGGATTTTGATAGTGTCTTGAAATAGATGGTAAATATCTACCATCTATATATCTATATTATATTATATTATATTATAATATCCATGAATCTGTATCATCCATATTTGTATAATGAACCATCTATTTCAATGATTTGATACCCTTATATCTTATGATACGGGCTGCTCATCACATAGCCCAAGCCCTGTGTCAACACAGGGCACTGGGGCACCTCCACCTCCCGGCTTCTTGCGCGAGGTCAATTGCTGGACCAGCTCCCTGCCAGTTTTGTCGGTTGTTTGGAGAAAGATCTGATTTTTGTTCCAACAAGTTGAGGAAAACGATGGAAAATCCGGAAGTCCGGATTGAAGTGGAAAAAAAACCGGAACATCGTAACATCGTGAAACAATCTGTGCAACAGCAATGGAAAATCTTGAGTTAGGGTAGCATGGGATCTTGAAATGAACATCATTGAACCACTCAGTCGAACAATAATTCTTGATCTTACCCCATCACCATAACTATTCCCTAAAATAAATTGCTCCCGAAATGTTTCTGACACGTCTCCGTCAACATGTTTTTTTAAAAGCACATGCATATCTCATATCTGGCATAAAATGTCTATGTGTATATATATATATATTCACCTGAGTACACCTGAGTACACCTGAGTACACCTGAGTACACCTGAGTACATGCATGTACGCACATATAGATGTGCAAAGTGCAACTACGTCTGCTAAAATCAAACTAATTACGATTACCCTCTGGTAAACTAACATAACTATTGAAAATCACCATTTTTTATGGGAAAATCCACTATAATTGGCCATTTTCAATAGCTATGTTAGTTTACCAGAGGGTATTTAAAAGAGAAGTCAAGGTTCTATGCGTATCGGCTTGAAATTCTCCGGGCACTGCCCAGCAGGGTCTATACAAATGGCGAAGCACCGTGCTGTTCAGTTTCCACAGCTGAAAACCTAAGCTTTGCTTCTCTCATGTTCAGACCATCCACATATCAATGTGGACATAGGTATGGCATGGGTCAAAACTGCCCCTTGAAATAGATTCAAAATAGCATGATTTACCTCTGAATATATAGCACAGTGGTCCATTGGGATTATCATTGGGCAGCCAATTTAGCAGCCTGTCATTGGTGGTCAGCAACCGCTGGAAGTCGTTGTTGTTCATCGCAGCACGGACAGCACGCCGCTGTAACGCGGCGCGAGGGGCTGTGTGGCTCTTTTTTGCCTGGAAAAAGCTGATCAACTCGGATCTGAGAAGCTGCAAGCGATATGATGTCGATGTCAAAACATGTTGATTCTGATGATTTAAAGTTTAATTTAAGTCAACTTTGAAGCATCAGATCCATCAGTTTGTTTTTAAAGAATCTTATTGGGTGAAGCTGTTCCCATGGTGGGATTTTGGAGCGGATTTTGGAGCTCTCTATCGGCAGATTGTCCAACTCTTGAGCCAACCGCAACGACCAGGGCAGATTTTTTTTTTTTCACCGCCATTGGTCACATGGTCAGATCCCTAATCACAGCTGCTGACGACTAGGGCCCTAGGGTCAAATGGGCCTCATAGATTCATAATCTATGGTCGGTAAAATTCCAATTTATATGATCTGGTTGGTGGTTGACCTACCCCTCTGCAAAATATTCATTCGTCAATGGGAAGGATGACATCCCATATATGAAATGGAAAATAGAAAATGTGTCAAACCACCAACCAGTAATCATTCATATGTCACCCCCTGCGGCATCTAGGCAGATTGTTATGGATCGAAATTGAGTAGCTCACGGCAATGCCCAACAAGTGAATGGTTCAATGCTGGTCAAACAAAAGTTGGAATGGCTTCAGCATCCCCAAAGTAGTGGCCCTGCCCTGTACCTTGATCCCACTGCCGCTGCAATTTTTGCTGGCGAGCCGCGAAACTGGGGAGCCTTTGATAGAGGTCTTCAAGATGTGTAGAAGTGAACTTTGTTCTAACAGCAAGGACAGCAAGGACCTCTATGCTGATGATGGGGATGATGGTCGCAACAATGAGAATGAGGCTGTCGTCTAGAGTCTATACAAAGTGTTGCTAGATTGTAGATAGCAAATGCTTGAGAGAGCAGGATTGTCATGACTGATGCTTGATTTGTTGCTTCCAACCCGGAATCAAAAACAAGCGTGCAGTGACACTCATGCAGCTGTACCATCTCCAGAATATCTCCCCCTAATCAATGGTCAATGTTTTCGTCGTCGGGATTTTGATGCCGCCTCTCACTTCTTGACTTCTGAAGACCCTCCCCAGGCTGCTGGTCTTTGGGTTCGCAATGGTTCGCAGTTTCCCCACTGCTGTTTTTCACGCGCCCAGATGCGCGCGTAATTGGCCGAAATCAGCACGCCAAGCGTCTGGGAGGTGGCATTAGTTTTCCCCGAATCTACCCATTAACCCCAAAAGTGATACGAAAGTGAGAAACCTGGAATGCATATGTACCATCCGAACCAAAAGTCTACAAATTTGCAGTACTTTGATGAAAAGATCGTCTTTTGAGCATAATCATATTTCAGAAACAGGTCGTCTTTTTGCCAAAAGTTCGTTTTTTTCCCTAAGGTGTCTGCGATTTCAAGGCTTTTTGGATCCCATGGTATTGACATATCATCTATTAGCTCCTGGAAGCCTCCCCAGTGAAGAGTGGGAAAGGGCAGCAACAAAACCACCATGGCAACCATGGGGTTTGTCTCCAGTTTTGATCGTCATTTTCACCGATCACATTGCAATGTTGGTATCCCGGTATCCCAATAAATTGGACGCAAAAACAATCAAAAACACATGCTGCGGGTGTTTCTGGTTCGTAGTAGGCCACCCTGATCTGTGTTCCCGCACGCTGATCCAGCCCTTCCCTGCGCTTCAGGCAGGGCACAAAATCTGGCGCTGTTCTGTGCCTGTTGAGCAGTGCCATTTTTAAGTTGTCTGATAGCAATCTCATTGGATAGGTTGAACTTTGAAAATTCCCAAATAAATCTCACATTTCACGGGAAAAACCTAGGTCCTAGGTTTCCGGTATTTTTTTTTTTACGTAAAGTCATCCGATGGCCATTACTGTGAATTAGTGGGAAATCTTGACCGGATTTCCTCCACATCTTGGGATGGTCCATGTTTCCGGTTGCTTCAAATCCTGCAAATTGTGGCCCCAACCCTTGCTATGGTTGCTTAACAACTGCAGGGCTGGTTGCTTTAAAAAATCTGCAGATTTATATGCCAGATAACTCTGCTTTAACTCGCGAAGTTGAAGTCACCCTTGCAGTGATCAAGGATCACTCTGGCCTCGGCCATTTAGGGATGATGCCCTATAGAATTCCCATCATTCCACTTGATCTCACCATGGCTTCATGGCCCTCTTTGGTGCACAGATCCTCACTACTCGCTCGCTCAGTCCTCCTTCTTGTCCTCGAAATCGGGCTGATGATTCCCGGCGAGGCTGTGACTGGGGCCCTGGGGTGGGATTTTTTCGTCCCTGAAACTGTGGAACCGCCATTTCCAGAAACTAGAAACCCATGGGAAAAACCATGTGATATTTGATCAAAAGCCCTAGTGAAGCTCATGAAACGAGCTCATGTACGAACGAGGCTCGTCTTAAGTCAGGATGATGACTCCGTGGGATTCCGAGGTTGGATCGACACAAAATGGGCCAGGCATGGCCAGGGCACCACAACTTGGTTGACAATGGTTGATGACCATAGGACGAAATCAGCAAAAGGTGCCAACAAACCCCCCCCAAAAAAAAAAACAAGACCCATTTGGATCCAAATGTTGATGGTTTCCCCAATGTTACCGGGAACCATCATGTGTAACTCATTGGTGGTTAGTTTCAACCCCCCTGAAAAATGATGGAGTTCGTCAGATTGGATCATCATCCCAACTAGGGAAAATCAAAAAATGTTCCAAACCACCAATCAGATATATATATATATATATATATAAACTGGTTGGTGGTATACCTACCCCTCCGAAAAATATGAGTTCGTCACTTGGGATCATTATTCCCAACTGAATGGAAAGTCATAAAATTTATGTTCCAAACCACCAACCAGGTTTTTAGTTTGGTCGGCCAGGAGGTCGCTGCTCCTGCTCTGATGTTGGAGCTCCGGCATCGTCTCCGGCAGCCTTTTTGAAACGGAGGCGTTTGTACAGACAAAAACCATAGAAATCACACCAAGTTGGGTTGGGCATATGTTTTAACATGTTTTAACAATCAACCTGGAAATTCTAAATTTCCCAGGTATTTAGGGGATGCGCGCGTCGTGATTCACGGATGCTATTGGCTACGTGTTACGGAGCCACTTGACTTCCATCATATCCCACAGCCCACATCCTACCGAAGCGACTCATGGTGAGTTTGGATTCTCCATCATTCTCCAACATAAAAATGGGTGGCATATGATATAGTCATATTGGGAATATATATATATTATATATCATATATATATATATTACAGTATATATATATGATATAATATATATATATATATGTGTATATATATAAATCCATCATCATCCATCTTTTGAAGGATGATCCATCCCCCACCTTCTCAGTCTTCTTTCCAGACGGCGAAGCGGACCTGGCGTGAAAAGGACACTTCTGAGTGGCAAGGTACAAGGTACCAAATCCCACAAGTGGAAGGATGCGTTATTCATGCATAGTTATATATACATATAGATAGATAGATAGATATGCTCACATATTCCAGAAAACACATGAAAACTATGTGCAAGACTATTCCTGGCTGGATTATAGGATCCAACAGGACTTACCCAAGCACGAGGCACACAACAAGCAGAAAATAAGAATATGATCAGACCTACTATTGCAATATTTGCAATGTTGTCCAACATGAGTTAGACTCAGGTTCTCAGCTGTTCAACAACGATATCGCCAGTAATGGATCCATTCCTCTTTTATAGGCGGAATCCCGGTAGATCTAATGCATTCCAATACCAATTTAGGGTTTCTGGGAGGGAGGTGATTCATTTATTAATATTATTTAGATATTTAGATATTTTTGGTTAATTAAACCAATTTGTTTGGGTTATCAGTGTTAGGTGGAACGGATTGTTCATCACCCAGCTTCGGCCATCTCTGCGCCTCGCTTTTGTGCTGTACTCCCGTACCCTTAGCAGCGCAGGTGGTTTTGACATCAGTGGCTGCTTGGCAACGTTGCCGTTGTGGTTGCGGTGGTGGCAGTTTTTGCTTTCCTTTTCCTTCTAATGGTTCTTCTTTATCTGCTTGTTCCTGTTCTTGTTCTTGTTGCCGTTCATGTTGCTGTTGCTGGTGTCATTGGTTACCATTGGTTTTGCTCATGTTGCTGTAGTGATTGCTATTTTTTCAAGTCATGAAGAGCAAAAGGAGGTGGGGCTTTCTGCAGGCTGAACCTTGTTTTCCTCGAAGCTGGGACGGCTCTTGAGACACAAGTTGAACCAACTATCCACATAGTCCACATAGTATATACTTGGTATTGATACATGTGTATATATATATATATATACGTGCTTGGTACATAGTTGGTACATCTTTGGTTGACACATATACTGACCCCAATAAATTCCCATGGAACCCATTGACTGTTTCCTCTGTCGTTGGCTCGATACCGTCATTGCAACTCGAAAAAACAACTTTCCAGCAGCCCTTACTGAAGACCAAGGTGCCCCTTTCTTTTGGGCGTACTTTGGCTACCCTCACCTGCGCACCATTTCGGGACGGAAAATCAAAGGGGATAGCTAGCCTCTCGCCAGGATATCCCACCCAACTTGTGTGGAATCAGTTGCCACCAATTCGAAGAAACGAATCCCCAATTTCCTTTTTGAACATCCACTTTCTTGCCTATCACGAAGACAGGCTGAAAAGCGTTTTATTGGTGGTGACATGGCAAACCACCTAAAAATTACCAATCTCTGGCGGTTAAACCAAATGTTTGGCCGTTTTTCAAAGCCTCAAACATTCTGGGCAATTTCTCAAAATTCTCAAAGTCTTAGCTTTGACCCAAGATGATCTCAAGTTGGTCCCCCAAAATCGTCCAGTGCCTGTTGTGGCAGGCGGGGCAGGAGGACTGGGACTTCTGCAGCAAAGCCTCGCTGAAATCACCAAGGAATTGGGAAAATGATACAATCGGATCTCCCATTCCGGAAATCATCTATACATTAATGGCATTAATGCTAAGGAAGAAGAACTAATTGAAAGGGACCAAAATTGTGATCTTTGATAGTCACGATTATCCAATATGTCTCCAATATGTTCAAGAATATGATAGCGATAGGAGTGAGAGAAGCCACTGGGATCCCAACATATCCCAACATATCCCAACACTCAGCCATTGGTGCGGTCGGACCGGCCCTGGAAAAACACATGAAAGAAGTACAGTACTGTGGGAATATGTGGGATAAGATGTGTTTTTTCTATGAGAGGTTTGTACTAAACTCATATTCCGAGATAAAAGCTGAACCAACTGGCTTCGTTCGCCAAGCATTCATCAAGGTGTAGAAACCCTCTATGCACATTAAAAAGATAAACTTCAAGCCAAGGATGCACGCCAAAATGGTGATTTCCAACAGGAGAATGGACTCCCACACCATGTTTTTTGATTGTTCATCTTCCATTTTCACTAGAGTATAGACGATCTTCCTATCAAGACTGGGTGGGAAAACTGAATTTGCCAACTCAATTTTCCGCTATGGGTCCATGATTATCATGATTTATTATCTAATCACACCACTTTGCCGAAAATGTATTACACCCAGCCCCCAGCTCAGCCAGTTGCTCAGATATGCCGCAGCTAAGCAACAGGAAACTACCACTCAACAAGACCTTGGCGTGGCGTTGACCCAAGGAAAGTTGCGCAAAAGATTGGAGAAAATCATCACCTCTGTGCTGATTCCATGCTTATCCCCCCCAGACTTGGTTGGACAAGGTACCACGATGCTGATCAGCACTGGCACAGGATTGTTGAACACCTCAGGTGCGGCTTGAAAAATCTGAAAAAAAAACATAGACTTGTTTTTTTTCCTTTATTTTTGTTTAAAGGCGTTTGGAAGTTCCTGGTTTCGAACATATTCTGGTCTCCACCAATTTCATGATGGTTGCAATGGTTGCAAAATTGCCAACCTCCTTTTTGAGAAAAACGCAACCTTTATTCACAAAGAGTCGCCTATTCTGGATGCATCAGGGGTTCTGAAGTGTCTCCGACCTCATTCACTGGGTTGATTTAAGGGGGAACCTACAGGAAACTATGGTTGTCCTTAAGCCTAGCCTTTGTATTGCAATCCTGACCCTGCCATGGGTTCCATCTGGCGTCCCCATCTATGACACCTGATTTCTGCTGCGGAGCAAGGTGCCCAGTCCAAGTACTCCTGGAACCAACTGCCGGAGCTTGTTTCCTTGTCCTGTCATGTTGGATGACACGAGCGCTGAAGCCTGACTGGTGACATGCCTGGAAAAGCTAGGGATTTATATTATATATATATATGTGTGTGTGTAGGATTTTGATGATTTCTTCCTGGCAAAACAAGTGAAAAGGCATATAAGCATTACTGAAACAATCAAAGAATTCATCAACTTTGTATTTTTTTGCCTCTTCAACCTGCATCTTTATTGGGTATATCGGTATATCCTTATCTCCCACTTTCGCAGGTGAGATTCCCCTTCTTTGGGATAGTGCAAAGCCAACATAAGCCAACTATCACAACTCAGAGATCATCTGAGTTTTGGTCTGGACATTTATCGAAAATCTCTTGTCTTTGGGCCCAAACGCGCTGCTTTCTTGTCAGACTTTCATATGTTTTTCCGAATCCAATCCAGAAATCAGAACGAGAGCCAGGTCGTCCTGCTTCATCTCAATCTCGTTCCGCACTTTGAAGGTGGCCTTTCCAAAGTCCACCACCTGGGCAAAGTCAGGACCATCAGCTGCAAGAAGGGGTTGGATGGAGAACTTAAACCATGCTTCGGCTGCATCTTCTAGCTACCAGCCGGTGATGAATGAGATACATTAATTACATTAATTAATACATCTGGTACATCCAATACTTTATGGATCTTTATGGTCCATCCAAGCTAGTCTTTGAACCACTAAGTCGGGCTGCATCCCATCCCTGGATCGCCTTCTCGGGGTTCTTGTCCACCACGATGTTGTCGAAAATGATGCCCTTGTCCATGGTCCAGATGTCGATGCCAATGGAATCGATGGTTGGGATCTGATAGGGATTCCTCAGCAGGTCGATGCTGAGGAGTATGGAGTATGCCCAAGGGTAACATGGGTATCCCCTATAGACAAAGATTCATGGGATATATTATGATATATTTTCCTTTGTTCCTTTGTTCCTTTGTTCCTCAGGATTTCTCATGGCGCCATCCCAGAGATGCCAGAACCCATCGTGTTACCCCCAATCTTCGTTGAGCCCACGCCATTAAAAAAAAAACTCCAAGGCAGGGTGCTCATCCTCAAAGAATTCGGGATTGGCAATCTGCCTGCAGGAAATGCGGACCGCTGCTAGGGCCTGGGACCTGGGTCGAAAGTTTTCATTGGTGTTTCAGAGAGGAAGCACTCCATTTCGGGGTGCAACATTTTGACCCACAACTCTTGGGTGATTTTAAGACTTTACCAAGCTGCTGTCCCAAGATGACACCGCAGAAGTTTCACCAACCGCCACTCCCAGCCTTGGCTTCCACTCGCCAATGTAGTTGGGGTTGTCGATCCTTGGCACGGCCATATAGCAAACTGAGCTTGCCACGGCTGAACACCTCGATTCCCTATGCGGCCTGGGTCATCAGCCCATTTAGCATCACCTTTCCACCAAGCTTTTGGGGCATTGGTACCACTGATCAAAATTTTATAGCAATTAGCAACACAACGCACTTTGCCACGAGTTTACTAGGATTTTACTCTGTTTCTCCTTTTTAGAATTGCTATAATTGTTAACCCATCCACAAAATGCGGGTCCAATGAGCTTTTGAGCCATGCCCCTTGGACCGATCAGAGCAGTCCCAGGGTCTTTGGGGCATACCACTTGCCCTTGTAATCTGGATTGTTGATCATCGGTGCCTGCCCGGGGCCACTGGAGGGCTGCTGCCACAACTTTGAGAAGTGACATCTGAAATAGAAGAAAAAATCACAGAAAACCTACAGTATTTTTTCTTTCATGTACTGTATATGTTCAGTAAAATATATGTATGTGCGTGTGTGTGTGTGTGCGCGTGCGCGTACTGCGTACTGTATATATAAATTATACATCATTCACAGCAAGCCCCCGAAAATACAGAAAAGTCAAATCCCCCCACAACAGTAGTAGATCATACATCAGAACTATCTGTTTCGGGCTTTCCGTATCATACGTTCCCGGTTTGTCGCAGCCAAACCCATGGGACCCAGGCCTCCCACTTGCCACAGCCCACCGAGCACTTGGGGTTTTCAATGACGGGCGCCTCCCATTCACCTTAATTAAACGGCTGTCAGGTGGTGTCAGGGTGAAGGATCTTTTTTTCATTGGGATTATTCATAGGAATCTATGAGGATATCCTGGGAATTATAACATCTTGTAACCAATTGATACCCTTCGATTTCGTCAAAGATGCTTGGGAAAATCCTTCAAACATATGGGCATTGAAATGGGAAAATCATGTTTTTAGTTGGTGGATTCATTGCCATCTTTCATTACCGAAGAGTATTACATCCCATAGGGATGGGAAAAAGGTATAGATCTATCTGATTAAGTGATATAATATTATGTGATATTTTTTGTAAGTGTGTCTATCCCACTTGGCTTCTGCAACCCAATAATCCCTATTTTAGATATCGGGTATACACCATTTGACCATTTCTATATATGGGCCATTGACCACTTGCTAAATGGGATGCACACCACGACCACGACATGTTCGGTGTCTAGATGCCATCCTCCTCATCGTCCCAATCATCTGGCCTGACAGTGAACAATATGAACAATGGATGGCTTTGAGAAAAAAAAACTACAGGAAACTATGGGGTTTTTGATGGTTTTGTTTTTTTACTGCCAGGCATGACAGCACAAGGACCCCCTTTGCAGCTGCTGAATGGAAAAAACCATGTTTTTTATTGGCATTCTTAGGGGTTTCCTGATTTTCCTTCCAAGGCTTCCAAGGCTTCCCTTTTGAGGGGTGAGGAATTCTGAGAGGCACTCAGCCAGCGGTTTTCTATGGAATTATGGCAGCATTTAATACATTTAACTTCTATGGAATTATGGCAGCATTTAATACATTTAACTTCTAGCCGTGATGTGCAATATGACAAGAAGTACTACAGTGAATCCAACTATTGGACCATATGCATTCACTGCATGGTTCAAAATATTACAGTACATGTGTTGAAAATCGCATGTTGTGAACACCGGACGCTGAACTTATGATTACCCCGCCCCCCACCAGGATGCGTAAATCCTGGAAATCCTTTGAATATTTTGGCGGGTCGGGACCTCAATGTTGAACCATGTAACTACCTACAAGTCAAGATAGAATCTACCTCAAAATGTTGATGGTTTACTATCCTTTTCCTCATGTGTTACTCACCATTGTTCCACCATAGCTCTTAAATCTCCAAATATATGATGATATATGGACGTTTCTGAGAACCTCCCTAAAAAATCGCCTAGAAACCACATCATCATCATCATCATCATCATCATCATCATCATCGTCATCATCATCATCATCATCGTCATCATCATCATCATCATCACCAGCATCATGCACTAATGTTCCCCATCCCATTTTTCAGGGAAACTCCGACTGGAAAACTCCGACGTCGTTGGCCCAACCCGGGCGCCTCTTGGACTTGGGATCCGCGATCTTCAGCGGTTCCCCTTCCAGCCATCCCGAGGGCATCGAGGCCGAGGGATCGGCGATGCGAAACGGCACCTCCTCGTCCCAGTCGTCCTAAGGGCCGTTAAAAACATAGCGGGGAGGACGGGGATAGGTACTTAAATGGTGATTTTACATTGGGAAATCATCATCTATGTGTATATATATATATGTGTGTGTGTGTATGTGTGTGTGTGTTTATCATCTATATGTATATTTATATATATATATACAAATTATATGCATATAATATATATATATATACATGTTACATATGTATATATTTCTAACAAACATTTTCCATGGCTGTGTTAAATCAGCAAAGGGTAAGTTGCTTTATATAAGAGGGCTAAGTAGGGCTTACGGTGGATATCATAAAGCCATTTTCTGGAGTTTGTTTTGGGGGGTGGTAACCTCAAGAAATATTCGGACCAAAAAATTGTAGATTGTCGATTGTGTCATGTTCAGGACGGGTATCATGTTTTGAACCCTCTTGTTCAGGGTCCATGGTAGTTTTTGGATGCATGTGAAGTGCCAAGGCAGTCCAAGGGAATATTGATTGCTTGGATCAAGGTCTCAGTTGTATCTCCAAGTGCGCCAATTGGAATCTGAGAACTTGTACAAAAAAAACAAACACGCACACACACACATATATATATATACATATATCATATATATGTATACACACATATATATATATATATGTGCACACATAACACTAACATACATACATGTTCCTCATCTGCACTGGTCATCCTAAAACGATCCAAAAATTGATGACATTGACATTTGATGACAGCTAGCAGCTAGGTGTCACCACGAATTTGTAGTTCTTTCATGTTATTTCCTCTTTTTCGATTTCTCGATTTTTCTTTTCTTGGGCTTTCCTCAGAAGTCCCGTGCCCGACTCACCCAGTGACCGGCTTACTGGCTTCGGGGTCATCCATTTTGGCATCGTCCACCCAGTCCGTGGGTTTGCTGTCGCTGGGGTCGTCAATCTCCTGGGGGCGATCGGAACCCATAAAAACCCAGGGAACCCAGGAACCCTTGTGGGTAAGTAATATATAAATCACATATGTATATATATATTATATATATTTATATTTATTTATTTATTTATTTATTTATTTATGTGTGTGCGTGTGTTAATATACATGCATATTAGAAGTAAGCCAGTGATGGAGTCGACTTCTATCTCTACTTGGATTCAAACAGGATCAACAATTGATATACAGTACGTGGTTATCCCCAAAAAAGGGATGCTTAAAAATGCTTAAAATATGTTCAACATGGACCTCAAGACAACACATCCGAGCGGTCGGCGACCGCGGTCCCGCCGGCCTTGGGTGGATTCACCGCAGGCATCAGATCCTTCAGCAGGGAACCGCTGAAGCTCTTCTCCTCGGTGAAGTCGAGACGTCGCACCATGGGATCTCTTGGCATCAAGTCATGTTGAAACGTGCGCAAGTGTGTATTTATATTAGCATGCAGATGCATATATAATTGTGTATATAATGTGTATATATATATATATATATGTGTGTGTGTATGTATATGTATATGTGTGTGTGATGTATATTATATATAGATATATATGATGTGCATATGTATATGTATGTATATATATATATGTATATATATATATATGATGTGTATGTGTATATATATATATATGTGTGCACATGTATATGTACATTGACCTTAGCCTTTGGCAACCCGTGACTAGAAGGTTGTGTTTTGTTGGTTTTTGTGGAATGTTTACTGTCGTCATCTTTCCAGCCGCGATATGAATATCGGCAGTGCACTTCCACCCACCAACTACTCATGGACTGCAGGTATATCCCAACCAGTCCTGGTTGTAGTTCATGGCCATCCTGTATAGTATGTATACATTATGTATACTATGGTTGCAAGAAAGGTGCAAGAAAGACTGCCCCACGTACAAGGACCATACTCCCCACATCATTAATCGAGTGTGTTATAGTGTGTTCCTATGTGTTCCTTATACTCCCATTGTTGTCAGCAGAAATCTGTTCTTGGGGGGTTAAGTCAGCGTTTTGTTCGGCCAATCCCGGCTCTTGTGGCGTTTGCCAAGTCTCTCCATCCACCTGCACTTCGATGGAGTTGTCAGGGCGCAGCAGCACACCTATAGCGAATGGTGAGGTACAAGCTACTTCGATCCTGTTACCAACCACCTTTTCTCTCCGGACATCAGTACCAGGGGAACTTCAATGGCAATAAATCGTTTAAAACGGGTCGGGTCCTCTCTCGGCAGCTGTTTTCTCAGCATTCTCAGCGGACAGGTGGCTGTAAAGGTGCGTCTTCTTCTCGCTGGGGACGCTTGGGGGCGAGGACAGGTGCTTCTCTTCCCACTTGCCGCTCACCGGATTCCTTGCCGGGCCACGGGGGATGAGCGGCAAGGCCAGGGATGGATGGTGCGCCAATGGCATGTGGTCACAGAACATCCCACAACCACGAGACCTTTAAATACCTCTATAATACCTCTATATATATATATGTTATACTCACATATATATAATATATGATATATATATATATGATACTCACATATATATCAAATATATGATATATATATATATAAAATATGATATATATATATATATCAAATATATGATATATATATATATAAATAAAATATGATATATATATATATATATATCAAATATATGATATATGTATAATATGATATGTATATATATATATATATGTATCATAAATTATGTGTATGCCGTTATGTATCACAATTTATTCAGCCGATCTGGAGATCTGAGGCACTTGTGCTGCAAGATGAAATGCACTTTGTTGGTGGCGCCGCATCGGTCAGGGCCAAACATGATGACGTAGCCTGGTGATGTCGGCAACGGCGACGTTGTTCAAACATGGTCCATGAAAAACTCAAATGGCAGTGTGTCAAAACCATGTACCCCTGGTGAACATCAAAATAGCTGGTAAATGGATGTTCATCCCACTAAAAATGGTATTAATAGGTATTGATCCATAGCCAAATGGTGATGATCTTATGGGTTGAACATATGGTGAGTGATGCACCAGCGATGAAAAACATGTCGTGAGAAAACCATAGAGCGCCCAAAACACAACCATGGAAGGTGGATGAAGGTGGATGAAGCTGGGAAAAAAAACAGCGATGATTAAAGAAATCGGTCCAAATTGCCGTGGACTTTGCCGGTTTGGTACTTCGGGGACTTTTTTGGTGTCAACTTCCACTGGCAATGGCTTCGCCATGTGCTGCGCAGGTGACGCTTAGCATTTCCCAAAAGCCAGAAATACTGAACTGGCTGCCGGTTTCAATGGAAAATCACCATTTTTAATAGGTAAACCATCTATAAATGGGCCATTTTCCATGGATGTCTACAAAAAATATGAAAGTCAGTTGGGATGATGACATTCCCAATATATGGAAAAATAAAGGCCATGTTCCAAACCACCAACCAGTGACGTTTTTTATTTTGACCTGTGATTAATGGGTCGGCCACCCATCGTGCACATCCCCATGTTTATCCATTGATTTTTTGATATAAGGCTCCAAGAGTTTGGCGGTTGCAATTGTGTGAAAACCATAGCTGAAGCATCTTTAAACTACACTGACATGTTTCGACATCAGATGGTCCTTTATTTGCAAAAAAATCGATGCTCGCATTGGAGCCAAGGAACGGGTGTCGGAATCGAAGTCCTCGGCATTCTGGCCTAGGCTGCGAGGCAGTGACTGCTCAAAAAAAGATGTCGATAGATGTCGTTACTGGATTTCTATGGCTTTCTATGCATTTAACTACAGAAAATTAAGGGATTTCTCTGAAAAAAAAGGTGACCTAAGAATCATCACGTTTCATGGCTGAAGTGATTAGGACCTGATTGAGAATTACTACATTAATATCTACATATTACATCATATATATCTACATATTACCCTCTGGTAATTTAACGTAGCTATTGAAAATGGCCATTAATAGTGGATTTTCCCATTAAGAATGGTGATTTTCCATAGCTATGTTAGTTTACCAGAGGGTACTACTTGTTTCAGCGTGGCTCGAAGCACCAGAATCGAATTCTGCCCACCTTCGCTGTTGAAGAGCTTGATGTAGGACCCTCCACACCTTGGATTGAAAGTGGATTCGGCTGCCATGTTTTTGGAGCTGAAAAATCCCCAAAAAAATGGTTGATGGCAACCATAGCTTCATCCAATGATAAATATATGATTTAATATATGATTTAATATGATTTAATATGATTTAATATGATTTCTGTATAATAATCAACGATTCCATTAATGTTGTGCTATCTAAACGATTCTAAACGTGTATATACGGATATATACGGTATAGATCTGTATATTTTATATACAGCACCCATTTCTGGCCAAACCTGTAAACCCACCACATTCCCAATTGTGGATGCCCTTGTGATGCCCTGCTTGTCTTTCGCTGGCGAAGTTAGGTGAATATATCCCCTATGTGTGCCAAAAATGAGTTCGTACTTAGCTGGAAAGTCAATCGACTCATTTTACCACCCCAAGACAAGTAGTGAATAATTAGTAGTGATATGTAGTGATAATATGTGATCATCAACATCAACACCAAAACCAGGAGTAAACCAGGAGTAAACTGAGTCCGTGGAAGTTTCTGGGTAAGGCACTTATCCAAAGTTTCCCCCAACCGAGTTACGAGAGGCCGTCCTCGAACTTTGCTTCGAACCTGGTGATTTTTTTAGCCCAGATCTACAGGAAACCCTTATATAATGAGTGCTAAGAAAAAAAACACATAGTTTCCTGTGGATTTTCCCTTGGACCAAAACACAAACATACTCTATGATCACCTTTTTTTACCCTCTGGTAATTTAACATAGCTATTGAAAATGACCATTTATAGTTGATTTTCCTATTAAAGATAGTGATTTTCCATAGCTATGTTAGTTTACCAGAGGGTAATCCACAGCTGTTTTCAATTTATTGATTCGCCAAGGGGTTCACCATCCAACCGGTTCAATGGGAATCATCGTGAATCATGAATCACAAAATCTGACCAGGTTCCTCGGGGCGCCTCATATTGGGCTACAGTAATTGGTGGTATAACTCTGACCCAGAAATGCGACCCACATATCAAAGCGACATCAAATCTGAACCCTGGATGAAGGATCACGGATGATCAGGGCCAAATTTTCGCCCTGCTCTTGAGCTCAAAATGCTGAAAAAGTCCTGGTGAATCCCCTTTTTGACAGACATGATCATTACCACCCAACCGTTTTTTGTCGTTGTTTGCACCGCCAATAAACGGCTGGTGACGTGGCGACAAGCAACTGTACTGCAAAGGAGTCCCCATCCTTAACGTTGATGGGTTCAAACTTCACTGCCTTACCACCAGGACGCAGATGCAATGGAATTTGGGGGACCAATTTTGTGCAACAAAGCCATCTTATATCTTGCTAAATCGTTCTCAATGAATATATCCCTGTATTGACATGTCCAGGCTATGTTGTCTGTAATTCTTGAACTTTCTTGAAGGTTGCCTGCATTTATATAATGGCGTACCTTCATATCAAATTCATATCCCGAAGGCTCAAGGATCAAAACATATCATAACGTTACCTTTCGACCTACGGTATGTTGTCCATCTGACGTGCGCTGGCAAGGCAGGAGAGACGGCTGGGTGCCTATAGTTGGACACTCAAAATAGGTGACGTTTATAGTTGCAATGTGGTACCCCCCAGTTATAAGTTAGTTTATAACCCCCATCAACTATAGATATGTATATCTACCATAAGTCCCACTTATTGTAGTTATAAACCAACTTAGCTATCTATGGGGCACCACTATGTGGAACCGATTGCAACCAAGGAATTGCAGTGTAACTATTCCAGCCTAGGAATTCCATGCGTTGCGAAAAAATATTCCCATTCTCTGTGATTTTTACCTACCGGAAGCGCCAGCTTTTCTGCATCCGGTTCACCTAAACATGGTATTATAAAAATATATCAAGTTGTAAGTTTAACTAACCAAAAGTTTACTAGAACATGAATGTCTAAATCTGCGTTGTTTCTGGATATGAAAATCCTATGGTTACAAAAGCCACCAGTGACCCGTCATCTAGCCCCACATGTTTTTCATAGCTCACCGCAGCTCACCCATCATTCACAAATCATCATAGCTATCAATGCTATCAATATCTATCAATCATATCTTTAGCTGAATGGATTAACAGCAACATTCTGGGATTCGATCCAATGAATCCAAGAATATGTTAATCCCAGCAATCTTAATACATTAAAATGTCAACCCCGGATTAATAAACCATGGTTTATTAATCGGGGGGGTATTCCCCCAATAGTCATTTCATCTGATATTTTTAACAACCGTAAACGGGGTTTATTAATCCAGGCTTGACATTAAATGATAGTCCATTAGTTCAATCCAAACATGACCATCCCAACCATCCCAACCATCCCAACGAACAGGTTAGACCCGGATCTATGGGATCTATAGGATCTATGGATATTTATGGCTTGGGGGGTTAGACATGGTTAGACCACATTCTCTCCTCTTCAAATCGTTGATTCTCCGGGTCAAATTGATAGTTGGGGAATGGTAAATTGCAAGTCTTTGACAACTAAATCACCATATTTTGGCTGCTTAAAATCCATTCTCTATAATTAATTAAATGACACCAAGGAAAAATCTTAAAACCCCATCAAATTTTCCGAACAAATAATTGATGCTATGAACAATTGGAAATCCTCATTTCCTAAGTGCAGAAGTTCCAGATCAGATCCTCATCCGAAGCCGTCAGGCGACCGCTCCGTAGTGTTTTGCAGCCTCTGGCACCTGCAAGCCCAGGTCACCCACCAGCGCCTCACAGCCGGCAGCATTATGGGCGAGGAAAAAAACTCCGGGAAATGGGAATTAAACTAACTTAAGGATCTTGATTGGAACGAAAAACCTCAAGGATGTTTACAGCGAGGTGTATTTCTTGGAACAATGAATGAGATAAGTCAAATTGGAGGTGAGAACGTTGGAAACATATCCTAATCTGATGATATCTTATGGTTTACTGTATTTTTCAGGCCTCTCCACAAATGCTGTCTGGATGAATCAATTATAACCAATTGTCAACAATGGTTTGCAAATCTATATTACCAATACCTCATGGTTCATATATATATATATATGTGTGTGTGTGAGTATATATATATATATATGTGAGTATACATATTATATAATATTTATACATATATATATATATATGTATATCCCTAAAGCAATGGATTCAATAAGCATGAATATATTGTCGGGCTTGATGGTGGTCAATAGTCCATTTATCCCATCCCATCAATAAAAAATGTACATCAGATCCCCTGGGCTCAGCGCTTCATCATTTCTTGCGTACTATTTTCAAATATGGTTGCTCGCAACACCCCAGACACAAGAGGAAAAAATTGGGTAAATAGATTGGACACTTTAGCCATAAGCTTGGAGCAACCCTCCATCGAATGTGCCTCTGTGCTGCGCGTGGTGACTTGAAATCGGCCGCGGTACTTCTCCTCAGGGCGTTGGTCAAAGCGCATGACGCGGTAAGGGGAATTCAAAAATCTCCAGTATGGTTGGAAAACACTGATTACTTGTAGTCAATATATCTACCCATAGAATTTCTATGTTCTTTGCAAGTAGTATTAAATATAACTTTTAGATACTTTTAGAAATTTTTAGATAAGCATAAAAGATCAGAAATCCGAAAGCAGCAAACGCCCAAAAACCATGTTTCATTTTTCCGTATCACTGAACCCTTGCTGTACCAACACTACACCACTCGCGTGTAGACATCAACCGTTCACTTTCGTCAGTCGCCAACCGCCCATGTCGCCCATGGATTGAGATCGCTGCTGCGGTGGAATGCTTCCATCTTGACCACACCTGACGATTAATGATTAATGGAAGGTAACAATGATGATTAATGATGATTAATGATGATTAATGATGATTAATGGAAGGTAATCATGATGATTAATGATCATTAATGATGAGACCGACATTGACCAACAATGCGGCAGCTATCTGACGGCGCTTCGCATGGGATGCAGTGAATTCTGAAAAAGCCGCAGCGTAGCCAAGGCTGAAATCATGTGTTCACTACATTTCTGTATAGGGTCACGAAAAGGTACGTACCCCTTTCAGGTTGTCGGGCAGGTAAAGAACTTATGACTCATGATGCTTTGAAATTGGAGTGTTCGTTCTACCTCTACCTGTTTGAACTCCCAAAATGCATAGCCTCCCAGTTACAATCTGAAAATGTTTACTCACGCAAGCCGGTCCAATTAAGCTTTTTCAACTTTGGGTACCCCGACATTGCTAATCGTCCATCTGCGCTTCTTGGACATGTTGACACATACCCCATCATCTAGGGAGGATTCAAATTGTTTGTCACTTCCCGCTTCCTTTTGAAGCACCTCCAAATTGGTCATTGTCACTTCAAATCGTCAGTTTTCAGAAGTACCTCCATAGTTCATTTTACCAGCTTCCTTTACCATATTCTACCAGCATTTACCAGCTTTAATTAACCTCCATAGTTCAGAAATCACCATCCAATCACCATCCAAAACCTGCATGTTTTTAGTTCATTTCTTACCACCTATGGCGACTAAACCACTACCCTCTGCTTATTTAACATAGCCATGGAAAATGGTCCATTTATAGTGGATTTTCCCATTAAAACCTCCATTTATGAGGGATTTTCCATGGCTATGTTAGTTCACCAGAGGGTAATCCTTTCTTCCTCCATTTTTCCCCAATGGGGATGCAACGGGGATGCAACGAGGATGCCTCGCCATCGAAGGTCTCCACGAAGTGAAGCCCACGGACGTCGGGGGACACGTACGGCGCCGTCACGTTCTCCTGCAAGGTGACAGGGAAAAATCCATGGAACAATGGATAAATAATGGATAGATATGGATATGGATAGAAAAGTCATGTTGATAACTATATCTATAAGTATATCCAATTTATCCAATGGGTTTATTAGTGATGATAAACCCCATATGATATTCATGATAACTATAAAACCATAGACAGATATGGATTTCTAGTCATAGATAGATATGGATTATAACTATCCATTCATGATGATAAACCCCATATGATAAAAATGGATGGGGTAACCATTTTTAGAATTGGGAGTCCGTGATGAAACACAGGTGGTGAAACCAAGCATGAAAATCTCCAGGTGGAATTTGCTCATCCAAAAGACGCATACTTTTTTCAAGCAATGCAGCAATCTCCAGATCGAAAAGATGGAAAAAATGGGAAAAAGTAAAATCCTACAGAGTTGTAATGGTATGTTTTTTCTATCTTTTTGGACGTTGCTATATGAATTTGTCTACTCCATTTTAAGACCCTGCTACTGGGGAAAATGTTGGTAAACCACAGAGTCTCGGGAATTGTGAGACAAACCATAGTGAATTTTATCAGGGGTTTGTTCAATGGTGTGATGGGTTATTTTTGTGCATAGCACATGGCCATCTACAATAATTGGCATTTCTTGTGATAGGGATGCATGAGTCAAAATTCATTATGACCTATGGGATCGCAGCCACATGCTCCAAGTTGCAGGCAGTGATGATCAGCCGCAGCTTGGTATGTCAGTGGGATTACTTCTGTCATTTGGATAAAAAAAATTGAAGGCAAACCGGCACGCCATTCATGTGATACACTTTCCGTCCTGGGCCGTTCCCAACATCGATATACCTGTGTTTTTCAAGTGGCACCTCCAAAAAATGATGGTCCCATCATAGTCGGTATTTTGATAAGCTAAGGATTTTTTCCAGCCAACCAGCTTTGATTCCTCAAACCCAAAGGCCGTCGTTTCTGGCTTAAATCCACCATTCACCAACTAACCCATTCACCAACCATTCGCCCGGCTTTTTCTGCTCCTAAAAAATCATCCAATCCAGGAATCCTTCCCAACGACTGTTATCAAATACTTTAATGATCTTTAATGTGTATCGGAATAACGAACGCACAATCATGCACGATCCCAGCAGTTACAGTGTCATCTCCCCATTCAAAAGCACCATAAAACCGAGGGCTAGATCCATGTTCAGCACGCGCAGGGCTTCCTCCTCTGCGCCCACCAGGGCCAAGCAGAGCGCCGCGGAAAAGACAAAGCCGGAAACCATGGCACCTGCAGATTGTGGCGCCCCAGTTGCCCCAGTTTGTTCGCAAGGTTGGAGATTGCTGTGTTTTGACAAGCAAAAATAAAGATGTCACCAACAAAGATAAGGGTTTGTGGTTGATTTATGTTTGCTAACAGTTGGTTCAGAAAAGTAAGTTGCCTTAGAGGATTTATGGTAGATATATATATATACATATGGATTGGAGCTAGATAGGGGATGCCGGTCATTTTCCAACACTAAGAAACGGTCATTTTCCAACACCAACATTCGGTCATTTTTCAACACAACTCCGTAAAATCAAGCGCGGAATTCGCACCGCCGCCAAGATTCTGCGCGACGTAGCCCAAAAAAGAAGGGATGCTGGCTCTTTTGGGATAGTGGGGTGAAGCTAAATCAACAAACATGCCCCGCGGGGTACACCACCCAAGGTGCGGATGACGCAGTGGATTTGCTAGCGCCGGAAGAACATTTTTTTTTAACATAACAGATTTTGGTCCCACATCTTCAAGAGATGGCCAAAAACATACAGATGAGTCTTGAAGCTCTGAGATCTTCAGAATTGGTTTAAGGCCAAAGATGATTTTCACCATCTGTTTGATACTGAAAAACTATGATGTTCTGTTCAAATTTCCCTGAAATCAACGTACATCTTGGGATGCGAATCTAGACAGTTTCTGCAGCTACACCTTCCTGGCAATATTTCCCTCCATCTCTGATTTCTATTGTTTTTTCTAGTGTTTCTACGTGGTTTTATTTCTTGCAACCCCGGCCTGACATCGACATACCCCGCTCAACCCCCGAGACCCGCGGGCAAAGCTGGAGCCACAGTTGCCCAGCTGAAACAGGTCAAAAATCTGGATTCATATGCCTATTAATACCTGAGTGAAGTAAGAAATTCACTATGTAACTATTGCTGATATAGAATAAAATATGCTGATATATATATATATAACATGCATGTGATGATTGTGAAAGTAACTATGCACATGTTTGATGATATATAGAATATATAGAATAAACCGAAAATGATACGGTTTATGACAATGGCGATAGTACAAGCTGATGGTTATCAACACAAGTTCCCACAAACAGCTTGCGGCTTGCGGGCACTCCCGAGTGCCAATGACATTTGGGTGCCCTCCGTGCCCTCCAGTAAAGCAACAGGTGTTAGTTTAACCATGGTTTCCCGAGGAACTCAAACATCCCAAACTACAAACAATGGGTTTTCATGGTTTTTCCACGATTTTTCTAGCATTTTTCCATATGTTCATTCACCGCAGGGTAGTGGATTGTAAGGGCAAAACATGCAAAACAAACCCTTTTTGGCTGTCAGCCGCGAGCGCGGCTAAGCCTCTTGCCTTGGTGCGTGCCGTGCTTGGTTTTGGTTCAAAGTGGGGTTGCCATATATCGGTGGGTCATCATGGTCATCATTGTTATACATTGTCATTATGTTATATAATTACATAATATTACATACTGTTTTTAGTTTTTACATGTTTTTACTATCACTAGGATTACATTGTTGTTAGTATCAAAATGGTTATCAAACTCGTTGATCATCTTGATCGTTGTTAAATGCTATCAAAATGGTGTCATGAACTTGTGGGCTAAACCCATCCCGCTGCTGCACTCAGCACTTTTTCCCAGGGCATGCCATACTGGCAGGGGGGGAGAAAAATTCAGGGTCTCAGACGGGTGCCGAAAATGACTGCCTTGGCCAAAGTATGGCTCAAATTCACACCTGAAAATCAGAAGCGTTACAAACCCGTTGTACAATGTTATATGCACCTCCAGGTGTCAGGTTGAAACAACACCACAGAAAGATTCTTAGGCTTTGCGCATGTGTGCGCCCACCATAGGCTGTTAGATGTTATGATCTTACAATTCATTGAACCTTCAGTGAGCCATACCCAGTCTGGAAGGCAATCCAAGTGAAGCACCAAAGACGCCCAAATACAGTGCCACGCCAGCGCAGAGAATTTCGCAGCTCGGCGGGAAGAATGCCGCGCTGCTGACCGCTTCTAGGCAAGTAACATCAACGGAGGCGTTCAAACCACAGAAGAATTCGTGAATTCTGTGCGGCTAAACATGCTAAACTGGTGCCGCAAAACTTGCCTCAAACAACTTTCACGAGTGTTTTCCCACATTCCACCCGAAAGCAGCCACAGCGGCGGCCATCATGGCCGTCTTCAGCCACGGTCGGCCCGCGCTTTTCGCCCGGACTCGACCTTGGCTTCCAGGATCTTGTCGAGGGACGCCTCGACACGAGCGAGGTTTTGGTTCACCTGCTCGGAGAAAGTGCTCACTTTTTCGGTCAAAGAGTCCGAAATTTGAGCCTCAGATGGAGGGATCCATGGAGATCACCATAGCTATAGCTACCCTGTGTTGCATCTGAAAGATCCTGAAAGAGGTGATTGTAGGGTTTACCCCATGGTAAACCTTCTAAAAAAAAGATGGGCTGGAGGCCAGGATTTCTATGGAAGTTGGGATGGTTTTTCAGACAAGCTTGAAAAGAAAAGATCTACAAACTGGATGCTCCCTTCAGTAGAACAATGGTGAGGGCAAATGTGGACGTTTGAAAGAATCTGCTTCCATTCTGAATGGATGATATAGATGGTAAAGGATGGTACGAACTGAGGAGGTCGGCTGACTCTGCCATCTGACAGTCATTTCTTGGGAAAGGCGCGACGGGTTCAATACAGTTATTCTGATTCATCGATGTGGTGGGGCGCATGTCATTACATGTCTAATAATGCATAGCAATAACATCACATGTATCACTGGTTATGGTATGTTCTGGTACTCCAACCGGTCAACTAAGGCTGACCTTGATCTTGACATCATCCCCAGAAAGGCACAAGGAGCCGTCTGTACACTCTGGGAGTCTTTGAAAGTAGACAACTCGCTCTGCAAAATGTCACTCACCTTCAGGCAGAGTCAAGTCTAACACTGGCAGAAATTTGGGCCACGAGGAACCCCAGCTGCAGCTATAACTATATTTGGTGGGTCATCATGGTCCTAGCATGTAAGTAAGTCGTATTACCTTGCAGTTTGTCTGCTTGGACTCAAGTCACTAGTGTCTCATTCCAACATTCGGCTTCCAATATTTCCAATATGTCCTCAGTGAACCGCCAAATACACAAAGAATCCGCCGAAAATAGTGACAAATCCAAGGCGATTGGTTTATCTTTTCATAGTTGGCAGTGTGTCAAAACCCTGGTACCTAGTGAACAACAAAATAGCTGGTAAATGGATGTTCATCCCACTAAAAATGGTATCTATAGGTATTGACCCATCCCCAGTTTTTTCCATCTTTGGGGGGCGAGAATCCTCCAGCCATCGCCTGCTGAAGACTCTGAGTACTTGCCTCTTGTTGCTGTTGTGCCAGGACCTTCAGGGCTCATGGATTCAATGGATTGGTTTGAGGGAAATGTTGCAGGGAAGCCCCATGATCTTCATGGGAAAATCTATGGTTTCCAGGTAACATTTCCCCTTAAACCAATCCATTGGTTGATATCATTGATTTTCGGTTCAGGTTGGTGGTGACTGAGCCAGCTGAAATATGAAAGTCAATGGGGATCATCAGCCTTGCAATCACCAACACCCACTAAGGACCAGTGGTCTTATCAACCACAAAAAAAACTACACACATGAAAACGGCAATGGTCACCCAGCCCCCGTTTGGAGGAGCATCGCAAATAAAAACCGCACAGCGATCAGTGAGCATAAACAATATATAGTAAACATATATATATATAGACATATTATGTATATATCTACATTCAATAGTATATAGGACATATACATCTCGTATAATTTGGCCCTCAGAAATAAACGGGTCAAGCTCGGGTTAATCCTTCCGTCTCCAGTACCGCGAGTCCTCCATGAAGGTCCCCATTGGGCCATTGGGCGTGGGTCAACCAGATGCAACGATCGGTGAACTAACTACCCTCTGGTAAACTAACGTAGCTATTGAAAATGGCCATTTATAGTGAGTTTTCCCATTAGAAATAGTGATTTTCCATAGTTATGTTAGTTTACCAGAGGGTAAATAGTCAATCCAATGAAATCCGCATACACTCCAATAATCTCCAATACACCAAGATCGCTTTGGAAAATCCAAGATGAATTTAGATCATTTCTTGGATGTCCATATCGTAATTTTCTCTATCCGGGTCAGCATCTTTCCATCCCCACCTGTGCCACGTTGGCCAGTTCCATCTTCATCTCATCCACCCCGTTTCCACCCAGACCGCTGGCGCTGATGTCAGAAGCCAACTCCAAGCGTTTGACGCCTTCGTTCAGGCGTTCCACCATGGCCATGATGGCAGACTTCAGATTCACCTCCTGGAAAGGCTTGCATTTCGATGGCATTTAGATGGTTTATAATGTTTATTTGTTTGTATATATATACATATTATATATATATATATGAAAGTGAGTTGGGATTATGACATTCCCATTTTTTTTGGAAAGTCATAAAGGCCATGTTCCAAACCACCAACCAGTATATATATATATATATGGGTGTCGGGTGGATTTTTTAATGGATCAGACTAGGTATATTCTAGCATCAAATAGATATCTTCTCCAGAGTCTTCTGGCGGTGTTTTGGATGGGCTTAGATCTGTTTCGTGTCTGACAATGGGATGGGTTGATCTTGGAATATCTCCTGGCAGTTGATGACGCGGGGATGAGACTTGACATAGTCTATATATATATATAATTGTATTATGAATAATTATATATGTATATATAAGATCTGCTTAATTTTTTTGGGGGATGCGCATGCTATTGAAGTTCATTCTTGTGCTAGGATTGTGCTAGGTACAAACGCACATATGGGATCATGTGGGAGTCTTACCAAGCAAAATATGGCTTGAAGTCCCGGTGATTTCACGGGCAGCGTCCTGCAACAAATCATGTTGATTTCCACCTGATTTAACCCAAATACTCACCAGCATGCCAGCAGAATCTGGGAATCTGGGAACATCTCTTGCCATCCCCAACAGGATAGCGCTGCTATTTGCAGCGCTTCGAAAAGTCCAGTCCATCATATGGGCGCCTTGGTATCCTCCATCCCCAACAAGCTGTTTTTCATGGCCGCCATCTCATGCATGATGACCTGCTTCAACACAAGGTGGTTGGATGAGTTGGAAATCAGATTGATTACCCAAATTTGACCACCTGTACGATTGGAATGACCTTGCGAAGAATGACATTTCTCAAAATCAAACTCCTCGCTTTTCTCAAAAGTCCAAGTTTTTCCATGGCCTCCCGAAGGTTAGTCTCCATGTTGGCACTGGAGTTGTTCATGTACTGCGAATGGGTGAAGCTCTGCCTCAGCACATCACGGCACCAGCGGCTGGGCGGTCCTCTGCTCATCAAATGTGGTTTGCCAGACAATCCCCGCACTAATTGGAGCTTTTAATGGGAAAAAATCATCTATAAATGGGGGATTTTCCGGCAAGCCACGTCGACGTTTGATTACCGGAGGGGAATGCTGGTTGGTATGATATCCCTACAGCCCAAAAAGATCCTAAATCAATGGGAATTTCAGGATAAATGGAGGTACTGTACCATATAAGGCCATATTTTGTGGGGATATTCCCTTAATAGGCCTTATATAGGCCTTATATATGGTAGTATGAAAGTGCCCATCCAGGGTTGACAGGCCCATGTCCAACTCAAACCTTTTCGCTGCGGCAACTTCTCGTCCCCCCCGATATGACGAGATGGCGATCTACTGGATGCTTGGAGCAGGTCATGGAGCAGGTCATGTTTCATGGCTCCGACCCAACACAATCTGAGGGATCAGACCCGTGATGAACCTGTGATAAAAAATTGAAAATCACCATGAAAAACAGTCCCTTCGAATGACCGGAAGAAAATTAACTCCGATCAACATGGCGGACCAAAAGAAAACTGGTTACCCTGCCCATGAACTCATCATGGGAAACTCATGGGCCATTAGCCTCTGGTAAACGTTTACCGTTTGCGACATAGAAAATGGCCCAGTCGAAATAGTGGATTTACCCATCAATAGCATGGTGATTTTCCATAGTTATGTAAACGTATGTAAACGTTTACCAGGCCGGGTAATAGGCCATGAACCTTGCCTTCACCAGGGCCAGTGCCATCCATTCTGCCCAAGACGCAGCGATTCGGAACTCTGTGTGATGGCATCCTGGGTGCTCGTGACGATGTCCATGATCAGCATGGTCCTTGGAACCAACTGGTGAAGCTGAAAAAGAGGCTGTCTGAAAATAAGTTCCATTTGGCATTTTTTGATATTTTGGGCCCAGAAATCCATCAAAGATTAGATGATTAGACGTTTTTGGCTCACCACGATTTTAGCGGATTTCGTAAAGATCTCCGACCAACCTCATGATTTCCATATATGTGTGGCATCTGTTTGGACGTGAGCCATATTTTTCATGTGCACTGATTCCCGCGGCCGGCATCTGGTTGCTAAGACAGCCATCACATGTTTGGTCACCCAAAAATGAGTGTGCTTCAAAATACATCACAATACATCAACTCCACATTTTCCCACATTTTTCCAGGTTTTTTTTTGGGGGTTGCCCCAACCCCAACCTCCATCTTGGAACGACCCACCCGGTTAACCTCCGCGCCGTTCCAAGGATTCCAAGCTGCTGGCGTCGCACGTCGATCATGCGCTCCTCCTGTGTCTTGGTGGCTTGTTCGGTGGAGTTCACCATGGCTTGGCACCACTTCCCGAGCCCCGCCAACTCGCTCCTGGTTGCGCCGATGGTGAAGTTACAGTACTTGGGACCCGGTTGAAAATAGCCAAGTTATAAAGTGAATTCCTACCTAAAAGTGGTGAGATTTATCACTGTTCTATCTTTTGGGGACTATACTCTTTATGATGTAGGGGGGGGTTGGTGATGACTAGAGGACTATGTGTAAATTTGTACGGAAACCCGACCATTCCCATGATGTTTCTCTATGTTCAAGTTTTCAAGTTTCGGCGCGGCATGAATTAAATATCATTACGCGCATATGGGGTATAAGAGCCATCAACTTACATAATTTAATGTATCGTTTATATGGATCAACAATATTATTTACGGTATAATTTCGAATGCCAGTAAAGCAATAATAACCTATCCGTATTTTGATATATACCGACCATAAAAATGGTAAATTTGGGGACCGTTTACTGTTTGCTATTGCTATCTATTGCTGTATCAGAAACCTTCGTAACCCATGAAACCTGGATCTCTCCAAGCTGCTGGATGTGTTGCATCAGAGCCTCGGCCCTTTCGACTTGGCAGCTGCGCATCTCGGCACCGCTGTCGCTGATCTTTTGCTGCAAAGTGCCTATAGGGGCCCTAGGGGACCATCATAGGGGACCCGTCAAGCCGAAACATACCAGAACTGGAGGGTTGGATGTGGTTGGATGTGGTTGGTTTGAAACAATCCCTTTTCTGAATGGCGACTCAGTCAGAGCCAAAGCCAAAATGGCCAGTTAAATCTCCACTAAAAACAATCTACCCTTAGCAAAGTGTCTCCAGCTTTGGCGACTGAGCCTCGATTTGTAAAGATAAGGCGAAAGGCTTCCATGTGTATCTGTCACACCCTTCTTATATCATCGTCAAACTCATATCATGCTATGTTACATCCCTATTTTTGATGGCTGCAGCACGGAATCCATTGCATCTCCAACTTTGGGTGATGTTTTTTCAGCCCTTTTTTTGCCAAAAATAAATACCAGCCGCTGAGGCCCTCTGAATTTATTGCCACATCGAGGTAGAAGCCTATTCTACATATAATGTACATCATTGCATCATGTACAACACATGTTGTATATCTTGAAAGTCCAAAGTCCGATTCAGGATAGGTCTTTACCTTAAGACCTATTTGGGAAACTAGAGACGTATTTGGGGACTTTGGATGTGGTAGCCTCTAAATTGCAGGTTGTTTATATTATCGTTTTGCAGGTCGAAAGCCTCGTTCATTCTCACGTACTTCATTTTCCTTTGACGTGCACATGCTCAAGCTTTTGTAAGCTCCTGTCCACGACCTGCATAGGTCTTTCCACGATTTTAAGAGGTCGTTCCATGGTTTGTCCATGGGTTGTCCACTGGAAGGCCCAATGAGTCTGGTATGCACATCAAAAAAAAAAACGCTGCAGCACTCTTCCCTAAGAAAGGGCCTTAAGATTCACATTCAGGTCTTTCGCAAAAGACCGAATTATGCTGAATAGGTTCTGGATGCGCGAGAATATATATATATATATACACATATCTACATATATAGTCTTGTTGGTGTCCGTATATATATATATACATACACTATAAATATATGTTATAGGTTGCCATGACACAATACATATACTGTCCGTGTATGATTTGTATCACCTGCAGCCCCCAAGGCTTTCCCACCTTCCATCTCCACCAAGCGTTTGCGGGTGAACTCGTGGCCGGACTCCAGCTGCTTGGAGAAGGCGCCTACTGTGGCACCATAATTAAAGCACCATTTCTTTTGTGGGTGCTACCCTCTGGTGAACTAACATAGCCATGGAAAATCACCATTTTTAATGGGAAAATCCACTATAAATGGTGACTTTCAATAGCTATGTTAGTTTACCAGAGGGTAAACGGCCTAAACCCCAAGGAATCTGATGGTTTTCTTCGATGAAAAATTCTGACGTGAAAAGCAGGGGCAGAAGGTGCCCTTGTGCCCTCACCTTGATTGGTGGCCACAGTTTCCAAGACTTGGTGTGACTCCTGAAGAGGCTTTCGTGGGAATCTATGGCACGTGGGAATCTTTGGGCCTAGGAAATCATGAACATGATTTCTATAGCAAGCCCCAAATGGTGAATCTTTAATGGGAATCCAAAAAACATGATTACTATGACAAAAAGTGAATCTTCACTGTTTTAATGGGAATTTACTTTTCTACCGATTCTAGGGGATGACTAGAGCCAGTGGTTTCAGCCAAGCCAAGAATCACTAGTCCATTGGGATGAAATTTCTGACCGAAATGGGGAAGGACAAGTTGACAAAAAGCAACTAATGTGGTAAACCCAATGCCATACACCTACCATTTAGGGATGATATTTACCAGCCATATATATATATATATGGTGTCATTGGGGATGTTTTATTAATGCATTGAGTTTACCACATCAGCAGTTGAGAACAACACCCTCAAAGGGCCGGGGTTTACTGGCCGTTTTTTTTATGATTACCTCCATGGCATGGGTCAAACGTTGGACCCAGTTCTGACCCCACACCATTCGACCATGCGATTTTCGTCCGCCTCAAGTTAACTTTAGATACCCCTTCAGCATTTTTTCCAGAAGGATATCATAAACTTCTACGTAATACCTAGAAGTTGCACAATATAAAAGAATATTATTCCGTGCACACTGCACCAACTATTCACTAGTTTGCCCCCTAGCTGCTCTTCTTTGCATAACCATTTGCATGTATTAAATCATATTACCCTCTGGTAAACTAACATAACTATGGAAAATCACCATTTTTAATGGGAAAATCCACTATAAATTGTCATTTTCAATAGCAAACTGTTAAATTACCAGAGGGTAAATCTATTGAACCATTTTTCTGGATCTGTTTCGCTATGAAACATGTTTCCAATTCCACGGATCCAATTTACCGCATTTTTCTCCCACAGGGTTCGTTGTTCGTTAGGTTTTTGTTGGTATAAAACGTGTCCAGTTCGGTTAGTCACCATCAATTTTTTTACGGCATTTTATAGATCAACGTCCCACTGTCCTTATGTCCTTAAATGTCATATATTTCCCACTTATATCCAGTTTATATCTCAGAATTCTCAGAATTTCCCCATGAGAACCAACTGTTGTAACCAACTATTTAAACTTGATACAGTGGGAGATATTAGGCTTTACAGTATATCAGTTTATATCCCCAAGATATCAGTTAAACATGATGAAAAAACATGTTCTAAGCGTTTGCCACCAGCCCGAGAACATCATAAAACCGGACCCGTCCTTGCTCTGCTTCAGCAAGTCTTGTTGCGTGAGATCCAGCTTCTGAAGCAATACGCTGGAGGAGGAGTTCACCGTCTCCATCAACGCTTGCCTAAGCCACGAAAAATGGGTGGATTCGCCATGACAGTCATTAGGCTTGATGCTTGAAACATGAACCAATGGTGATCAATGGTGATTGAAGCATCCAAAACTAGAAGTTACAGTAATCATGAAAAAAATGATAAAAAATGTATTCTAATCATATCACCATGTCGTAGTCATCATCACCAGCATCATCATCACCATCACCGCATCACGGTCACCGCTCTAACCCCCATTTCGTATTTGATCTAGGGCGATCTGTTCATGAATCGGGGTCCCTTTTAAAGGGGTATTGAAAATGATCTAAGGGATTATTTCATGGATCAAAAACATCCTTCCCATTATATTCATCCCGATGAAAATTCCAAGGAGCTTGGTGTTGTCAGTGGCACCTCCGCTTTGAAAAGAAAGGGATCGCCAGCAAAAACGCACAAAAAATGGTTAAACAATGTTAAACAAATAAATGCTACCCTCTGGTTATTTAACATAGCTATCGAAAATGGCAATTTATAGTGAGTTTACCCATTAAAAATGGTGATTTTCAATAGCCATGTTAGTTTACCAGAGGGTAGTTCAAAGGAAAAATGATGATTCACCAGTGGAACGGCTGGTTTCGTATAGTTTTCAGACATTATCATTATCCAGTATGATATACACAGGTAAACAATGGTAAACAAACGAGTCGAACTGGATAAATAATGACCGTTTAAAATACATGCCACTTTGAACTTTGCCCAAGTTTTTTTTCACCAACAGTCAGTCCGTCAGTCCCAACCCAGCTCCCAGCTGCCGCCTGTGAGTGTGGTCAACACGTTCTCCACCACAATTTTCCTTGGCTGCGCAAGGAGTTTCCACCGGCAAAAGTGGGTAAAATGAAACGGAGTTTTACCACACCAGGTTGGGTCCGCATAGGTCTCATTTTGGGGCACTTCATTCCGTTCTGTTCTGTTCATCTTTGCTGTTGACCCGTACCCATGACCATGCTTACGGTGATGATGCTGTTGATCACCTGCGCATGAAAATTCCTGAATCGTCCAAAATTCCAGCGGATTTCAAGTGATTGCAATTTTGGTTAAGCCCATGTGGATGAAAGCCTCCCCAATAGGAGTCATCCATGTTCGACGGCAACGACTTATTTGGTATCCTCATCCCTTGGAATTTTGGTGCGAGAGTCTGGGTATCCACCTTCTGCATGACACTGTCCTGCGCGAGGCACCAGAAACATCCAGAAACATCCAGAAACACAGAAAGCTGGAAGTGTTTTTGGACACCCCAACGGACACCAAAACAAAGCAGTTTTTTGAAACAACTGGCAGAAGGGCAGAAAAAAAACATCCACAAATCACAATGGTTTTCTGGATTTCGACCTCATCTTCATCGCCACCAGCTTGTTGATACTGGTATAATGATGTATAATGGGGCCCCCATTTCCCCTCGTTGGTGCTGGATCTGTCTGGGGTTAATGCCCAGCATCATTTCGCCCATCAAAAACTCATGGCTATTACACGATTTTACACGTATGTTTGAATGCTATCCAATGAACAACACTATATTTAACCGATCATGAGTCTTTGATACTACTCCTGGTGATTTTATTTTCATACCGCGTTGATCTATAGTTTTTTACTCATTGTTGACGTCTATGCCGTCGTTGAAACCGCAACGGCATCTGCCATAAACCACAACGGGTCACGATGTCATTGGCCGCCTGAGAGGAATCCAACTTATGCAGCAAGACTTGGCAGGCGTTCACCGTCTGAAGGATGGCCACCTGAAGGATTCCACGGATTCGACAGCGATTGAACTGAAGTTCCCTATAGGGCTGAAAATATGTGTATCTATCATCTATCTGTGTATATATATAATGTATATATATATATATATCTCTCTCTCTCTCTCTCTTTAAAATATATATATATATATATATATCATTATGTCCTCGTGTATCTATACACATGCGTTTGGACTTAGAACATCTTAGAAGCTGGAGATAAAAGCTACAGACATCAACCTTGGATATCCAACTGGGACCTATTGGACCGTCCTCACCTCAGGGGCCAAAGCTGTACAGTATGCACCTGATGAATCTTCCAGTGTTTAAGGGCACCACACCAGGAAATCATAGGAAATCATAGGAAATCATAGCAATTGTCATGAAAAATTGCCAGGGAGTTCCTGCAGTTTTTCTCACCTCATCCTGTGAGGAACTCCCATGGTTAACCAATGGTTATTCCCTCCTGCCATGGATTTACCAACTCACGTTGTGGATAACTTTGGGATCCCCCAGTTGAAAAAACGGAAGAATGGAGGCTACAGTGCATACTTACTCCATATGTGCGAAGGAATGAGGGCTTGAAAAAGGAACACTGCATCCTTTGAAGAGATCTGGAATTATCTATTTTAAGGAAACGTTTCATCTTTCTTCGAGGATCCTTTGAATCCTAGCCGCTTCTTCGAGAGAAAATTGCACTTGTTGAAAGATGTTTTTTCAATTTTTAAGCGAAGTACTACTACATCTTGGAATGCTACCTGCATTGTACCGAAATCTACCACTTAGTGAAAGGAAGGCTGGAAACACTGCTTCTTAGAACAGAAATAACGGGGTCACAAAGAATGCCAATTGGTTCCACACAGAGATAGGCCCCCGCGCTCCCTTGCCTTGGGTTTAATGATGTTTAATGGCAGGGATTTGAACAGAAACAAGCCAATAATCCAATGGGAGCTAGTCATTTCCTTCTGGAAATGTGGCCATATGTGGCCATTTAATTTATCACCCACCATGTGTGAAATGTGCACCAAATGCTGGTCCCTTGTTCTGTTTTCTTTGGTCTGGCTAGCGAAATCCTGTAGAAACAGCTTTACGAAATGCACCTCTTCCCGACAATCCGATGCTCCACATTGGTGTCAAGTCAATACGGGGGAAGTTTTAGACCCTGGTGTTTTGACTGGGGATTCGACCAGGAATGAAATTGCTTACGAGAAAAATCTCTCAACGAACATGATTCATCCATCAAAAGTGATTTCACCTAACACACCTAAGCATATATAAGCATCAAAAACGTGGAACAGACCTGAACCAACACTGAGATTTGGAGATGTCCTAAAATGAAGGGGGGTATCCCAAGTGCTCATCAACTCATCAGCTCATCCATGGGATTCACCGGGATTTTCCATGGCATCCGATGGAAACCCCAAAGGGACCTGTGAGAAGTCCATTCTTTGGGCAATGGCTTCCTGAGAGCTCTCCATTTGCCGCTGCATGTTCTCCTGATCGAAGATGTTTTGATCATTGCAAGGGGAGCTCTTTCTGTTCAAAAAAAAAGTCATGAACATAAGTAACTTAAGGGATGATGAACTTTAATCATGTTTAATCATGTTTAACCATGTTTTATCAATGAAAATTGGAAGTTCTACCAAGAAAAACATTCAGCATATCATTTTTCATGGCTCCTTCACAGGGCTGTGACAAAACAAAACCGGGATCGAACCCGGCGCAGAAAACTCAGGGCCTCCATGCAGTGCAGCTTCGACAGAACTTCCTCACGGAAGGGTTGCAGCACATCGCGCATCATTCCTCAGTGACCCCCTACATGGAATGCCTATCTTGGATAATGAGGAATAATTACCATCTGGTAATTTGTTACATATATAGCCATGGAAAGATCCACCAAATTTATAGCTAGGTAAACCATCTATTTCGATTAGGGCCATCTACAAACCATGGGCTAGCCCTGTCATAACCAGGTTGGGTATGATAAACGGCCATGAATGTCTGTGATACATGGGCCAATCTTGGATAGTTATCCATGGTCCAAATTTATATGGCAAATATATATATATATATGTTTTCCGGTGGGATAATGATGTTCTCACCCCCTGGCTCTAGTGAGGTTTCTCTAATGAGGTTTAACCGTTTCATGAGGGCAAAAATCGATATTTTCAGGGGCTATCAATGGGGATATGGAGGAGGATTGGTCGGGGGGATATATGACCACCATGATGGGAAAATGGGTGTCTCTGAAAATTTGGCACACCCAAAACATGCATTTCAATTGGGAGGAGGAGAAAGTCTTGGAGTTTGATGGGGGGCAATGTTGGACAACTCAGATCAATATCAATCCAGCACTTTTTGGGGTCTTGATCTAACTTGTGCACGCTTTTGCGTGGAGCCACCCTCGGTTTTGGGACTCACAGCTACGCCATTCATATAGTCCCTTCCCCCAGCCATGTTTTCCATAGACCCCATGACTAGGCCCCCAATTTTCTTCGGGAAAGCCATGGATTTCCATATGGCTATGAGTCAAAACCCCTGGAAAGTAGTAGGTTAGTAGGTGAATAGATGGTTATTCCCCCAGTCATATGGTAAGTTCATAGCTTTTGACCTATCCCCATATCCATGTTACCCTCTGGTAAACGTTTACATAACGGAAAATCATCATTCTTAATAGGTATGTTATTTACTATAATTTACCAATTGAATTGCCATTTGTCAATAGCAAACTGTACCAGGTTTACCAGCTAAATCCATGGATGACCCAAGTTTCCCCTCATCTGATCTTCCATCTGCTCACTCATGCCTGGAGCCCCTGGGCTCATGATGTTCATGGCTGGCATGCTGGACGGCGTGCCGGGGATGTTGGGCAACATCCTTGGTGGACGTGAAGATTTTTGGGCGCTTTAAGAATGGGATATCTCTGATATCTCCAAAATGGCATAGAAAAGAGTGAAAATCATCGACTATGGGATGTCTGGGGGCCCTTAGTCACTATAGTCACTAGATCATGTCGATGGGAAGCTCTGAGTAGCTCCGGATAGCCATCTCGCCATCTCCCAACCACTGTCAGTAGTTCAGCTGACAATACAGCAGCAACAATCTAGGCAAATTCAATCTCTAACATTAGCATCATATGGGGACGGTCAAAACCCTGTAGCCCTTCTGTTCACATCAAAAAATAGCTGGGATTTATGGATGTTCATCCCCTAACAAATTGTATCTATAGGTAATGACCCATAGCCGTAGCCATATTGTACATCAGATTCTGCTTTTGGTGTTGGGATCGGCTGTCGAGAACTTTTTCCCCGTTTGCCGAAAGCGTTGAAGACCCCCCGTTTCAACGTAACGAAATCACGACTTGATCGTTTTCACCCAGCCGTGAAAGATGACGGAAATCTAAACTTTACCCCCCACACAAACACACAAAAAAAAATCCATGTGTGTCCTCTTTGGATTGTTAGAAAAATACCTCAACCTTAATCTCTCAACTATTCTCCACCCCTTCGTGTCCCGCCTTACCCTGTCCCACCAGGCGTCATCACTTCTTTCTGCGACATCCGGGCGCGATTGGCTTCCAGAAGCTTCATGAAGGGATCCTCCTTCTCGATCAAGCCACCCTTGTCTTGCCTGGATGATCAAGGCTTAGACATGGCGACATGCTGCAAGAAATATCACTTTTAGCTGGGTAGTATGCATAGATATATGCATAAATATAATGTGCATACATATGGTTTCAAAAAATCGCAGCATTCCACTTTCCAACTATCCTAGTGATGGTCTGTTGGTACAATGATGCAGCGACCAAATAAATGATTGTTGATGTGATTTAATCAACAAAAGGAAAGGATTTGAGCAAACAAAATGGGGATCCAACCAATTAATTTACTTGAACCGACTAGAGGCCGTGCTCATGACTGCCCACACCGTTGGCTCAGTCACCATCTTTTCCGATCTTATCCCCTCAATGCCTTTGCATTGGTGAGAACGAAAACACAACGCTAGTTGCCCCCTGGTTGCGATCTTGGGTTTCTCATGAGGCGCCCAGCAGACGTTTTGGATGGCTGGAACATGCCTTGTTTGTACCCATCTTTGTTCAATCTCAATGTAAATAGTAAATACCGTACTTAGATATACTTCGATCCTCTCTTTTACACTGGGCTCTCCCCGTTTCATTGCAAACAATGACTTGAAAAAACATATCAAAACCTGAAAGAAACATCTTCAGAATCGAGCCTCCCCGTACAGACATGATCCCCTTTGGAAAAAAAAAAAACGCATCAACCCCTTGGATCATCTGATGATCAGTGGTTCGTAAATGTTTAAAACCCTGGTGATCATACAGGTAGGTCCTGAATTTCAACTCTTGATGATGATCCAAAAGTGATGCCATTTCAAAGTGAGAGATCTATATGTTTTGTTTAAGCGCGCTTACAAATAATCAGAAGACTTACTAGTTAATCAACTACCCTCCGGTCATCAAATGTGGTTTGATGTGGTTTGATAGGTTATCCACCATTTATTAGATTATCTTCTCATTAAGGGGATATGTCCGAGTGCCATGTTTGATTGCCGGGTATGTCACCCCAACAATATCCCAACAACAAACCTCTGGGGTATACCCAACAGTTAAACCTATAATAAACCTCTACTAGGGATGATGATGGATGATGGTTTATTGTATTTCATTGTAGTGTAAAAACCAGGTGGATCCACCAGTTCCGTCCCAAAATGATCCAAGATGATCCAAGTGACCCCAGATTCATCTTCTCGGCGGTCCAGCGTTTCTGCGTAGCTTCCACCAGCACCCAGGGCAGGTTCAGCTCCATGCAGCGCTCACCCGTGAGACCTGGACGAAAAATCGACACCGAAACAAAGACCCCACGGGGAGGTCACGGTCACATAGGGCCGGTATACGGAAAAGTGCCAAAAAACACGGGGAAGAATGTCTTAGAGACATATATAGAATAGAAATTGATGGTATACCTATAAAAAAAATTGTGATTTTCCATGGTTATGATGGATATTCTGGTTGATGGTGCAATGTGCCCATCTTGAAAAATGATAGAGTTCGTCAATGGGAAGGATCATCCCATATATGAAATGGAAAATAAAAGCCATGTTCCAAACCACCAACCAGCTTATATCGGCTATTATAGACTTATAGAATTTGAATAGTGAATAGAGCTAAATAGAAGCTCCAGTTCCTGGAGGAGTGTCTGGAGTATCACAAAAAACGGATGCAGTTCCAAGGGACCAAAATGTTCCCAAAACATGGAACAAACCGTATAAAAATCACCCCCCGTTTACGGCTGTTTCATTGGGAAGGTACCATAAAAAAAGTATCACATCATGACTGTTGGGGGAATACTCCCTTAATTAATGTCAACCAGGGTTTAGCAAAATCCAGGGTTGACATTCATTTATTAATCCCATTTATAATCATTTATAGATGATTTTCCCATTAAACCATGGCCGGGTTGACATTACAAACCGAAAACGTCCATCCCATTTTGAACCGTGACCAGGTGACGTTCCAGCACCGCCGTGTTGGTGACGCCATTCTCCACCAAGAGCCGCAGCAAGCGGTCCGTGTGGGCGCTCATGCCCAGGGTCACCATGGTTTCGGCCACCACCTGAGCCGAAAAGGGTGGCAGGGTGGCAGGGGTGCCACGGTTTGTGAAGTTCGTTTAGAAGTACTGCAAAAATGCCAATAGAACTGTAACTAATATAACTTGGGGTTATGCCTGATAGATTGATAGATTGATTGATTGATATCACTTCGGGTCGAGAAAAGATGAGAAAAGTAGATAAACGGTTTTGCTTATGGTAATGAAATCGCTATAGTGGGGTAAGTCACTAGCGGGCACCACATGGCACCAGCGCACGGATCTGATGGATTGAAGCATATTACAGACCGCATCTATAGCTATGGCATGGTGCTCTCGGTCATCAAATATGGCAATGGACAATTCAATACAATTCATCCTGTATAATAATCTTTAATTAATGTTTATAGATGATTTTTTTCCCATTCAAAAGTTGGTTCAGCTTGGGAGATTTCCATGGGTTTAAATGGATTTCCCAGCTAGTCATGTTTTAGTGGCCGGATGGTAAATTCAGCGGAATACACTTCCTTTCATGTTCCATTCCGTGCCTCAACCATCTTCTCTTCACTTTCAGCTTCCTGTTCCGTGGCACTCCATGGCAAAGGCAGGGCGTGAGGTGGGATACCAATGGTCATTGGCTCTTGTTGATTGGAAAATCGGAAAATCAGTTACAAAAAAAAAAAAGAGGTGTCCTATTTATCCACTTCTTGTATTCTTGGGGTTATTGTATGTTATGGTCCTCACTCCTTGATTTATGTGTCAAGGATTGACAGTCTCGTAATCTTGTTCTGTGGGATTGTGTGGGCTTATGGCCTGTATCCACTGACATGGGGTTATGATGGGTTATGGTTATGGTTGGTAAATGGGGATGGGTCAAAACCCTGGTACCTAGTGAACCCCAAAATAGCTGGTAAATGGATGTTCATCCCACTAAAAATGTATCTATAGGTATTGACCCATACCCAAATCAGTTGGTCATTTTTCGGATCTCCATAGACGGAACATCTTCGTCGTCGCCTCGCCCGCGCCCAAGCCGTAGGTGCTGGCCAAAATGCCGCCGGTGGCGCTGGAGACCTGCGCCTGGCGTCAAATCGGAATCTGAAAATCGGGAGAAATGATGGAAAAAATCATGGGAAATCTATGAAAAAATCGGAAGAAACATCTGGGTAAGTGGTTGAAGTAGAAATTGATGGCATAAACATGGGAAATTCATGGCGATTCTATCACATGTGAATGTCAAATCCCCATCTTCAGTGGAAATGTTGCCGTTGCCACCGTTGGGTTTTCACCATTGGAAACACCCGGTCGTATTCCTTTCATCCAATTCTGGGAGTCAAACATCATCTGGGATCTTGTCCGGAAAAAAAAAAAAAAACATAACTTTTGCACCGGTAATGTTGACATCTACCATCTGATTTCTGGAAAAGGTTTGAACAAATCATCATCATCATCATCATCATCATCATCATCATCATCATCATCATCATGAGATGGGGGGACATGGTGCATGATCATGATGATGATGATGATGATGATGATGATGATGATGATGATGATGATGATGATGATGATGATGATGATGATGATTGACGGACAGAATGACACATCAGCCATTGGGCCACCAGAAATTCACCAGAAATTCACCAGATTCTATTCCCAGATATTCCCAGTCCCAGTCCCATTTTATCCCTGGCGCCTTGGCCTTCATTTTCAACTCATCCTCGGGGACCTCATCGGTGGGTGACAGGCCGTAGAGCTCGCGGGCCGCCTCCAACTTGCGCTGGTGGACCATCTTCATGCGCTGCATCAAAATGATGAAGGTGAACCTGAGACGTTGCATACATATATGGCATGCATACATATATGGTTTGTATATATATATATATATGTGTGTGTGTGTGTAAATGTAATAATTGTAATAGATCTAATATACCCGCGCGTGCATGGAGGGTGAACATGGTGGTGCAGGTGTTCGGGAGCATATGAATACTCTGTCTGGCGGTATTTTGGGGCCAAAGTCAGAAGATTTTCCCAAGAAAAAAACAAGAAAATAGATCTATCATGATCTATCTTCCCCGAAAATCGAGGTGATACCCTCTACCGAGATCGACATTTCATGCACAAACATGGGGTGCTTTAAAGTGTAACTTACGGGGCGCTCAGGATGGCATTGTCCAATGAGTTCCAGCCCTAGATTTATCCCAGTAAGATGAACTGTTTTTAGGCTCTCGGGTCAGGAGACATGACGGATACAACTTGATACAACCAACACCCATGCATAGGCGATAGGAATGAGCTCCCAATATTTCCCATGAACAACGACCAGGATGGAGATCCAAAAATCCCATGAAGAAAAGCAGCATCGAACCCCCCAAGAAAAGTGGATCTATTCGTCTTAGGGGGGTCCCATATGATATGTATGGATATGTTAAGGCTGATGGGATTATATTGAATATTGCCATGCCTTGGTTTGACGACGTGGTGCAGCACCCCGCACACTCTTTTCGGCCACATCAAGGCACTTGGAGACGATGTTCAGGACCACCCAACCTGAGAGTCGCAGGTCCCTTTTTTTGATTACTCGAAATGGAAAATTTTGGGAATCACTGAATCACACCAAATGATCACCAAAACCTCCAGGACTTGGTATCTCAACTCAATTATTTCAAGACCCTGAACTGGAGATAGGGCACAAGTGCCAAGACAAGAATTTGTGATTTTGTGGGGATGTTCCCTGAAACTAAGGCCTTACAAGCCCTTTCAGCCAGTACCTTGGGGTCAATCAATGTTGACCATGACGACATGCACTTCATAAATATTTGACCTAGCTAGCTTTGGAATGCAACCATCTGTGGATTTGGCGGCCTAGCCAGAGTAAATGAAGAGAACATTACACTTCAAGCTGGCATATTTCCGACAGAATTCGGTTCTCACTCCCCTCAGTCTTGTCTCCTCAGTCTCGTCAGCTTTGTTTCATTTGATACCTGGATTTCACCCAGAAAAAAATGACGATGTGCAAGGTAACGTGAGTCCTCACGCAAAGAGCCAACTAAAAACTGAAAGCTGGGAAAAGAAACAAAAATCAAACGTGGATAATGCCAACCCTGGTTTAATATAACCCCCCGGACTGTTCAATTCTTGGCACCATTCATAGCCACCCTTCCCAATCAGGGGACCCATTTCGATGATGAGGTAGTCGGTGATGACGCCGAAGCCCTCGATACTCAAGCTGAACCACACGGGGAAAGGAATCCAGGTGATAATCCTCAAGGCGGAAAAGGGAACGGTGTGGCTTGCGGATGGTCCTGCAAGTGATAAACGCGGTATGCATCATGGACAGAATAATGGCTGAATGACTATAAATATTGCTGTATACGTGCACGTGTGTGTGTGTGTGTGCGTGTGTGCTACGCCCATTTCATTTAACTTCTGCATAGTATATAGGAATGGTCAAATTAAATGGGTCTCCAAAAAACACACGCACACATGTATATATATATATTATAATTTTATATATAATTTTATATATAATTTTATATATAATTACTATATGACCCATATAATTATGACACATCTGAAGAAAGATGTGAGAAAGGGAATCCATCAAGCCGCTCCATCCGATGACCGAGGCGCAAGAGGAGCGAAAGCTTCCGGAAGTCGGAAGCTCCTTGGAAGGCGTTCTCCTGGAGATGTCTGGGAAATTTCCACACTGTGGAGCCTTTGGAAAAGCCTTTGGAAGGGCAAATTTGGAAAGTTGGAAACTGGCAAGATTCGTGAAATATTGCGAAGCTATATGAAGCTACAATAATTATAACGAAGTGTAGTTCAAATTCCGTACCACGTGAATTATTGTAGATATATACTATGTAATGGATTATTATTGTAGATATCCACGTGAATTATTGTAGATATATTATTGTATTCATTTGTATTCCATACCGTGTGCAATGTACTACAATTGGAAACTAAATAATTATCTACAATATATTGTTTATGGTATACTAATAAATAATTGTATTGTTGCAACATACCATATTGTAGATATATTATTGTATTCCATTATAGTGGAAAGTCACACTTTGTGCAACGCTGCTCGGCCCCCGGGGCGGCCACCTCACCCTCACTGTTCTCAGAGATCTGGAGGATGTTGTGGTAGAACATGATGCTGGCCAGACCTCGTTGCGCGAACGTCAACCCAGGGGACCCAGGGGACCTTCAGCATAGCCACAGGAGCCAAGCATCGCCAAGTCCAGATTGGTTTAGTATGGTTTAGTTAACCTGCAGTTCTGAATCATACTTGGAAGAATTGCCATTTGGGTTTGCACCATCTATTTTTTTTTAATCCCCACATATCCCCAGGTCAAGCAACAGAGGCCGAAGCCATACCACCCGAAGCGCAGCGCATCTCCCGTGAACATGGAGGCGGTACCACATAGCAGCACGGCCACCGACAGCAGCGGCATCATGAAGCGACGGTAGCTGGGAACACGGGCTCCGGCCAAGACCACCAACTTCAACTGCATGATGGGACAGGTGGCGATCCATTCCTGGGCGATGGGAAGAGATGGACTGACTGGGTGCAAGCGTGCATCAAAAAAAAAACAGTATATATACATACACATGTATACGTGCGGTAGGTGTGTGTGTGTGTGTGTGTGCGTCTGTGTGTGTGTGTAGAACATGCATGTACAAAAATATATACATGTATATGTATATGTGTGTGTGCATGCACCACCTCTCCGATCTTTATAAGCATTCATTGTAAATATATATATATAGATAGATAGATAGATAGATAGATAGATATATTATGCGCATAGTCGCATGAATAACGTCAAACAGACTTATCTACACAGACCACTGAATACATCTGAATACATGTATGCATACATATTCTATACAGTATGCGCCATGGTCCAAAAACGGTCTTTGCATCATATATGAATCCTGTTCCTTGGATCTCCTTGGTATATAAATCGCTACGAATTACTTAATTGAATAATAGATTGATGGCCATCCCTCAATATGGGCGATTTACCCAAGTCTTAACCATGGCAAACACGCACATACACACACACACACATATATATATATATACAAATTTGCAAATATATATATATATATATGTGTGTGTGTGTGTGTGTTTATTTATTTATTTATACATATTTATATGTGCAACAGCGGTAGATACCGACAGATATTACCGGGGCACGACCATGCATCTCACCCAGCGTCAACAGGTCGTGACAAGTTGAGGCTGAAGTTGTTCTCACGCCCCGGAAGATCAAAGTCATCGATCGCCGTCAGTTGCCTGAGCTTTCGCATTTTCGCATATTTTCGCGACTGAGAGAAAATCCTCTGCAAATGGAACTATTATGTATGTATGTGACATGTGTGTGTAATGATGATATGATAAATAGCAAAGTTTCATCAAGTTTCGAAGTCTTGGTCTTGACTCATGAAATCCCCAAAAAGTTGGGGGTTTTTATCATGTCGCATCCCCTATTTTCAGTGCTTACATCCATGGTGGATTTCGCCGTGACATGCTGGGGCTCAGCTCCCCTGGATCAGTAGGGATCACTAGGGATTTCAGGGAACTTTGAATATCCTTGCCTCCTTAGCCCCTCCAATTTGCCAATGTCAACGGAAAGTTCTTGCGGAAAATCCCCACGCGTCTTTTCTCAAAATCCCATCGATGTTGGTCGTTTCCTCATCAGCCTTGCTTCCTCCCCTAAAAAACACGCCTTTCACATTGAATTCCATGATGATCCACTAATATTTCTCATAAGTTGAAAAATTATCAATAATTCTGCAAGATTTTATACGATTTATAAGATTAATGCCCAATGCCCTTCCTAACCACCTTCTCCCTAATTTCCTGTCGAAAGATTTAGTAAAAACTATGTCTTTCCACCTGATCCAGGTGGAGACCCATCCCAAAATCTAGGATGGTTGAGACCCCAGCCATTAAGATCTGTTATCATCGTTTGTCCAAAGCCAACAGAAAGTCTAGTGTTCCTTGACATGGTTAATATATGGTTAATATATGGTTAATATATGGTTAATAAACAATATTAGTTTCTAAGTTCCTTGATAAAGCCCATTAACATCCATTAACCATGGCTTATCTTTAGTTGGTTCGCCATAGACCCAACAGTATGTCGTTCAACCAAGTTAGGCCTCTGGTTATGTAACGTAGCAAACTAGAAATTAACCATGTTTAAGAGGTACCTCATCATGTTTATCATCTGTTTCCAAAAAGGCCATGGCTTCCATAGCTACGTTAAATAACCAAAGGGTAAATCCCTAATCACCATTTATCACTACTCATCACTAGTGACACATGATTTCCGCTATAAAACCTCCGTTGAGTTCAGGGACTTCCCACATCCAAGCCAGGCGTCAGGATGTTGAAGAAGCCCGAGAAGAGAGCCACGGCCGTGCTGATGGTGGCGCAGACTGCGTGACGTTGCTCCAGTGGGGCGCGTTGAGCCACCGCCACCTCCGGGGATTTTGGAAATTTCCATGCCTAAGCTGGTTGGTATCTGGTTGGTGCAATGTGCCCATCTTGAAAAATGATGGAGTTAAAGTCAATGGGAAGGATGACATCCCAGAAAAATGAAGTGGAAAATAAAAAATGTTTGAAACCAACCAGATAAAGAAAATTAAAAATGAGGATTGAACCACCGAAAAAAGGATCGATTGAACTAAGAAGTACAAAAAAAAATTAAACTAAACCAATCCAACAAATGCGACTTGAACCATCAAAAAAAATAAACTTACTTTTACATAAAATCCGGATTTTACAATTTAGCAGCCTGAATGAGGAGTTTATCGCCCAAAATAAAAGGACTTAAGCCCAGCGAAGTTGTACGGAAAGTGCCTGGGAAGCTTAAGGGAACTACTGCGATGATTCGTCAACTTGGAACGCAGCTACTTAGTTAATGTTACTTAGATGAGCCATGGACTTACTTAACATTACTTAACATTACTCAACATTACTTAGCTGTTAAAGAAATTATTTCTACAACGGGGAAATTATACATCCGTGATCTCCAGGCAGCGACCCTACACACATCCCGGGGAACTCGCGAAGTCCGCTCCTTGGAATTGTTGGCGAAGATCAGCCACATGGCCAACACAATGAACATCGCACCTGTGCTGACAAATCTGAGCTGCACAGAATTGAATCAACACTTGATCATCCCAAGGGATGGTTTACAGAGTTGGAAACAGCCGACAAAAAAATCACCATTTTCGACACGTGGAAAGAATTTGAGGTGGAAAGTGCTGCAAAAAAAGGGGCAAGTTGTGGTATTTATATGTATTTATGCTCATGCTGCCCGTAAAAAATGTGATACGCCCAATAGTAAACACCTTCTTCAGCAATTATGTTTTGCAAGAGCCCCCAAATCGCAAAGTTGACTAATTAAATGGGGTGTGGATGGCTGTGGTTTCCGATTGGGTTTACCACATGACATGAAGATGTGTTCGCTGCCATAATGCCAACGCTTCAACGCGCCAAGACTTCATTCCAGGCTTAACACCTGGGTTATATCAACTTGTATCATTTCGAGTCAGATAAAAATATGATCCCCTTATAACCTGGACTACAAATCATTTATAACATATAATGGTTGGTGGTATACCTACCCCTCTGAAAAATATGAGTTCGTCAGTTGGGATGATTATTCATCCCAACATATGGAAAGTCATAAAAGCAATGTTCCAAAGCACCAACCAGTATATTAAAAAAAACATGTTCGCTGCAACCTGGACGTTTGCCCGGAGTTGATGTCCCGCAATCAACATATTGTTCAGAGGGGGTGGCTAATTTTGATCCCTCATAAAGATAAAGTTGATGTTATTTCCCCAACCAACATATTGTTCTGAGGAGGTGGCGAATTTTGATCCCTCATGAAGATAATGTTGATGTCACTACCCGATTCAACATATTGGCCATAGAGGGTGGCGTGTTGTTAGCCCGTTCAGCATTTTGGTCATAGGGGGTGGCGGATTTTGATCCCTCATGATGATCAGGTGATATTGTTTCCTCATTAAGATAAATGTATTCAAAGTAGTTTCAAGGTATCTCACCGTGGCCTAATTTTCCCCCTTGGCCTTGCGCAAGGATTCGCAACTTCCCAGCAACACAGTTCTTTGTCTCTGTTATGTCCCAATGATGAGTCTGGGCGAACGTTACCCTCTGGTAAACTAACATAACTATGGAAAATCACCATTTTTCATGGGAAAATCCACTATAAATGGTGATTTTCCATGGCTATGTTAAATAACCAGATGGTAAGGTTGCGGAGAACATGTTAAAACATCCGTCGTCATTCAGCAGTGAAAAAACGACCAGTCCACAACGGTCGTTTTTGCGGCACCTTGGATGACCTGCGCGATATTGTGAGGATCCTCCAGGTCCACTTTACCATCCTGGGCTGTTCCAATGGGCAACAGCCATAGCTATGACATGCTATGACATGCTGCAGCCCCCAAAGTGGAGTTGAACGGATAGAAAAGTTGAAAGATGTTGAAAATTTTTGAAAATGTGGGGGGGGGGAATCATCCACACCATCCTGGAAACACTTCCTTCAATCCAAGAATGTGTTTCTTCTTGCTAAAAAACAATCTATATCTCATTCCTGTGACTCATGTGGGGCCTCCGGCGGCTACAAAGAAATGATCCACCCGAAAGCCTGACATCCCCGTTCTCCAGGTCTGCCGAAAGCAAACAACAGCAAGCCCTGTCTGGAAGACTACTTGGAGTTTCCGTTGATGTTCCAAACTTTTTCGTGCGGGTGTCCATTTTACTTCCAGGCAGGTGAGTCAAGCTTTAGATTGCTCGGCAAGGGAACATGCACTAGGCCTTACGGCCTAACTTCTATTGGCTGCGGTTAACGTGATGTTTGAGGCAAATTTTGAAGCTTTGCAGGCTTCTCATTCTTCGGTCAGCATCTTCACAGGTTATCAATATTGGTAAGTCACCGGCTCAACTATATGAATTCAATCAAACTCACCAAGCCACACTATGCTAAGATGAATTGGGGAGGCTCCTGTTACTACCCGTCTCACCGGCTGCACACCAAGTTGCGCAATTCTGAGTGGTCTGCAAACGCCTGTCGCCGTGTCGCAAGAAAATTTGGATCATTTTGGAATATTTTGGATCTATCAGACTCAGATGAAGAACTGGATAAGAACCCTAGGTACCCCTACCTAACCCTAGTGGTGCCAGTTGCATTGGGATTTTCACTGGGATAGATCAATAAACATATGTACGTATATGGATATTACATAATTATAAAATACATGAATCTAGTGCATATCATTCCGGTTTCCGGCCCTTCTTTGCCACAAATTTTGCTGAGACCTGGTGGTCTGCCCATGGAAACCACCATCCCACTAGCAGTCACTAGCACAAGCATGAACTCTGGGACACATTGGGAAACCCAATAAAGATACCCTCTGGTAAACTAACATAGCTATTGAAAATTGCCATTTATAGTGGATTTACCCATTAAACTATGATAGTTATGTTAGTTTACCAGAGGGTACCCACCAATTCTCTTGAGGTTTAAAGTTTACACTCCCGACAAAGACCTAGTCATTTGGGCCACAAGGTCTACATCTGGGACCACGGGAGTCTAAAAGTGGATGTGTACCCCATTGCATCCACAACGGGTTAAAACCTCTGCCCAAAAAAGGGGGTGGATTGGAAGTTTTTCCCATCAAAAAAGGCCTCAAATTGCCAAGAACATCTTCGATGGTTGACAAGGCATCGTCAAGCTGCTGCTTCATCCCGTGGTCTGAGAGGGCCATTGGTTTGTCCTTTGGATTGACGTTTGGTCCTGAAAATGGCACGAGAGCTGGAAAATGGTGAGTCTTGAGCCGAATGCGCTAGCGGAAAAGATTTAGTCATGAGCATGGGCGAAATCGATTGAGTTCTGATGAATGGTTGGTCGTTTCAGCAACCCCGTCGGTAAATTATCAAAATATGCCCGTCAATGCCCATCAATTGGGACCATGATCACAGGTAGGTATTATAGTATATACTTTGAAACCACCAGCCACTTTGAATTATGGTCAAAAATCTGGTATATGTAGTTCAGGGCCGCGGAGATCTGCAAGAGCATATTCTACTCTCAATGTCATTCATTAATTGTCAACCCCGGATTGCTAAATAAAGATTTTTTAATCAGGGTGGGCTACCCCCAAAGTCAAAATTTCCTGCTGAACTGCCCCTTTTTTCAACCACCCCCGGCCAAGAATGTTGGTACACCAGGCGCCACATGCCATTCGGAACTGGAAACACCAAAAAGCCGAAGAGTTTTTTTCCATGTTTTTTTTGCGTCAGAGCACCATTCACCCCACAGTTTCAGCACTAAGGGGCTGGTGTTGTGCTGCGACGATTAAGATCTACCACTGGCTTCCAAGAACGACTGCGTGAAAATTGGAGTTTCCATGATGGCTGATGCTGACAGATTGTTATCTCCTGCTCTGGCTTGCGAACCTCAATTCGATAGTCTCTCATTTGGCTAGGAAAGCTCCCCATTTAATAGGGAATCATAGCTCTTTATAGCCCCCTTATAACCACCAGATATCGGATAGTTTAGTCTTATTTCATTTTCACGCATTCATTCCGTGCACGTCCGGTTGCCGCAACGTTGTTAATCACTTCCTTGATGTTTGGAAATTATGCGACGCAATGATTTTCCTCTAACATCTACTGCAAATATCCCTGCACTGTAGAAACCCCAAATATCCCTGCACTGTAGAAACACCGGATTTAGCCTTGGAAATATTAATTTTGGGATCACATACGGGGTAGATGACCTGAACGTAATTGTCCAGGATCTGCTACCTATTCTTTGGAGGCAACTGGAGATGGAGAGGACAATCTTCCTTTTGTGGATTTAGGCCCTGTTCGGCCATTCTGCGACTCAAACGAATCTGCAGCTATTGATTTTTCCTATGGAATGAATGGAATGACCATTTCTGGTGCATCGCATCGGTCGCGCTGGCAGACCTTCAGCCCTGGTAGCCCTGGTAGCCCTGGCCACGCGGCCCTGTTCGGCCTTCCGCAGCTTGTGTTGGCAGCCGCACGTGTCGTCGGCTCTCCGGGAGCCAGTAGCGGTGACCGTAATGGATCAGCACCTGCCATGGTGGCACCATTTTTTGCACCCAGAAAATGGGGATGTCCATGGCCATTTGATACATTTTGACAGCAAAAATTGGGATATTATTGGGATGTACATGTATAATCATGTATAGCGGAGTAAGAATGGCAGACAACTGAGTAAACACTGGGTTTGTCCAGAAAGGGTTGGGATCTAGACTGGTTATCTGGTGGCATATATTTCTGTAGCACATATACATACATAGTATTGTATAGCAGCCCCGTTCAGCCAGTGGCATTGATCAAGGCCCGACCTACGACACATTTTCTACTTGGATTATTGGAGACCCCCTCAAGACTTGGCAAACCCAGTGACAAAGTCTTAGCCAGATCACCTGCCAATTCATATCGCCATATTCCATACTCAGCACAAATATATATATATATATTATATAATATATATATATATATAAAAAGCCCCACCTCCTTCACAATCACGGAACACGAATAATGTTTGGCTTTATAAATGGCGAATCTTACCCTCTGGTAAGTTGTGACTGTTTGCTATTGAAAATGGCCATAGAAATAGTTGATTTACCCAGTAATAGCATGGTGATTTTCCAGTCGTTATGTAAACGTTATTTACAGTTGTTTTACCCATTAAAATCATTCAACATGGATAATAGCATGGTGATTTTCCATTAAGAATGGCAATTTATGGTTGATTTACCCAGTAATAGCATGGCGATTTTCCATAGTTGATATAGTTAGTTACAGATAGTTACAGTTGATTTACCCATTGAAATTGGATAAAAATAATGATTTTCCATCGTTTTTTCTATGTTTACCACAGGGTAACCACCAACAGCCACCAACAGCCACCCCAGGCTGATGTCTTCTCCGGCAACGCCTGCTCCCCAGGCATTACATCGCGCAGCACGCGGCAGACCACGTGGAGCAGGCCCTCGTGCTGGACCGTCATCAACCTGGGACTGGACTGGGCTGCTGCTGGGCAGCTGCCCAAAAATGTTGGCATTTAGTTCGTTGATTTAACCATAAAAAATGGTGATTTTCCAGTTCGTTATGATGGATAACTGGTTGATGAAAATGTTGGCATTTAACGATGGATTGTTTTAAACGTGCTTGGATTTTATGTTGGTTAATGTTGGTTAAGCCAATAGTAACCCAATTATATGATGGTAAAATTCTAATTTATTTTTTTCTGGTATGTTAACAGCATCTACCCTCTGGTAATTTCAAAATAACCATGGTACAAATGGCCCATAGAAATAGATGGTTTACCTATAAAAAAATGATGATTTTCCATAGTTATGATGGATATTCTATGATATTCTGGTTGGTGGTGCAATAACCATCTTGAAAAATATGAGTTCGTCAATGGGAAGGATGACGTCCCATATATGAAATGGAAAATCAAAAATGTTCCAAACCACCGACCACCAACCAGTATTTGTATACATGTGCTGCTTTGTCCCAAATATAAGATCCCCAGAATGTCATAACTATGTCCATGTTGGATTCTCATTTTATATGTATCTAAAAGTATGTATGAAGAATGTATCTATCAAATCTGATTTTATCTTATCTTGTCATATCTTGTCGAAACTAGTCTACTCCAAATCTAAATGTAATATAATCCATCTTTCTCTTGTGCTCCCTCCTACATACATCTACAATAAACCACAAGCGGCTTGCATTTGGATTCTCACCTGTCTGCTGCGACAAGTTGAACATCAATGGAACATCAGAAAATCCAGTTGCTGTTGGGGTAAGCGTAAGCCCCCAACAGCACACTGACGGTGAAAGTCGCGCCAAAGGTTTTTTCATGTCGCCTGATTTCCCCACATTTAATTTATACAGAAATATGAGTTCAATATATTTCAATATACTCTCCTAGTTTCATGACATTCGAGCTTCAAAATCCCCCAAAATCCCCCCAAAATCCCGTCCTTTCTACGCACGGTGTGCCCCTAACGGGATGCCCCACTGGATGATCTGCGAGATTTTTTTGGAAATGATGATCCCCCCATCAGACTCATCAACCACAGGATGGGGCCCCCAAGATAGCGTTCAGTTGGTTTATAAGTGGCTTAACAATGGTTTATGGTAGATATAACTATAGTTAATGGGGATTATTTCATGGTTTATAAACCAACTTATAACTGGGGGGCCCCATCCTGCAGGGGGTTAGCAATTATTGCCCATTTCTTCATGATGCCTAGAAATCGCTGGAAAATGGGCTGGAAAACTGCAAAATGCAGCTTCTCCAAGCAGCTCAGCATTGAAGGCATCATCACTGTGGTTGATTAGCCTGAGAAGGTTCCCAAACTCCTCCCACATCGTGCCAGATGGGTAAAACCCATTGGATGCTCATTTTGACTCTTTGTTGTAGGGAAAATATGGGGAAATGACTTCCAAACCAGCAACTTTAGGGCAGATAATTCCGAACCGCAAATTTCAGACTGCATCTCCTCTTCCAATGGAGTCTGTCAACAGCCAAGACTCTTGAGTTTTTGGGTTAGGGTCCAAACATCCTATCAGACTGCACGGTACGCCCGGTACGCCAAAAAAAATCCCCGAAAGCAATGTGACATCATCTCGGTGAACCATTCTTCAAACATCCAATGAGTCATTCCATATCCTTATTATCATGCCTTCAATTTTCCCAACAAGTCTAGAGCTATCAACTGTTGATCAACATCTGGGTATGGATCAATACCTATTAATACCATTTTTAGTGGGATGAACATCCATAAATCCCAGCTATTTTGATGTGAACTACAGTGGTACAAGGTTTTGACACACTGCCATATCTCAACCTCCCAAATCTCCAGGCCCTCCTTGGCATTGATCACCAGGTCAGGTTCCACAACTGGCAACCCGTAGCCATAGACGCCATCCTCCTCCGTCCGCCGCCGCGACAGCACCCCGGTGTACTCCCCCAGGACACTGCCCGCGGCGAGGAAGGCGCAAACGAAGAGGCCCAGACCCACGTCCACGCCCTCCACCAGACCCACCGAAGCCTGGAGGGTTTCGTGAAAAGTGATGAAAAAAAAGGGAGAAAAATCAGGAAAAACCCAGGATGAAGAGGAAATTATATTTAAAAAAATATAAAAATGTATATAGTTATTTGATGCTATTTGTGGTGTGTTAAATAAGGAAGCACCAGTTTCTTTCGTAAGAACATCACACTTCAAATTATGAAGACGTGAAATCAACTCTCTTAATGGCTCTAAATTCATCTGCCAACCATTCCTCGAATCTTATCCAGGCAGCTGCAACTGCCACTGGGCGATCTCGGACCCGGCATCACTTAGAGGTACTGAGTTGCTGTGAATTTCAGGCGCCTAAACTGGAAGTGCCTAACGGAGAGAAAGCCCGTTTAAGAGTAAAAGAAAATGCTGCATGTACATCATACATCATCGTTATCATACAAGCACAGTTTTGACTGAAAATAGGATACCACCTAAATTTCATGGTTGAGAAATTCATGTTCCCCACCACAATTGCCATTCGAATAAACCCTACACTTTCACAAATCCAAAAGTTATGTGTCATTCTTCAGCAACCAGCAACTCGAATGGATTCCAGGGATATCTGGAGCCGTTTCCTCCAGCAAAATGTGATCGCTCCAAGGTGCCACATAGACATGTTGGAACAAGAAGTCCCCAGATCTCAGCAGATCAGCGCAGCCCACATCCTCGCCTTGTTGCGCAACGTGGTAGTGAAACGTCGCAATCGCGTTTTTACGACCCAGGCTGGAGGCCATGCTGGCCAAGGTGTAACGATGGTTTATAAACCCATAAGCTATGAATATATATATACTCAAAAGGGTCGGGACCTTTTCCCACAAGTTCGACAAAAATGCCTTCAAATGTAATGTCCATGTGAATTGCATGACGAGCTCCCCCTTTGCCGGTCGGCAAACGGAGGTTTCCAAAAGTTCAGCACAAAATGTGCTTGTTGGCCCAAGGCATTGTGACACCAAAAAAGGTTAGGTTTCTTTGGACTTCCGGCCTTGATACATCCTGGAAAGAACCGTTGAAGTCAAACCCATCCCTCTATGTGCATTCTGAAAACGATTCCAGGGGTTCATGGCATTTGATCCTTTGGACCTCCCCTTTAAATCGTCTACACCATCTACCTCGTCTACGCTACCAACACCGAGAGCCCCAAAATTGCTCTCATCAGCAGCTGCAAGGCTTGAAGGCGCAGCAGCAGGCTCTCCCGCTGATCGCAATGCACCAGTGCCCGATTGTCTCTTTATACTGCATGAAGAAGACCCACCATTCGCAGTGCTAGAGCCCGACCGTGAAGACGTCGTCTGACTCATAGAAGCACTTTGAGACAATGAGGCCCCTTTTTCACCATTGCTCAAGCCCGACCGTGAAGATGACTTCAGGCTCATAGAGGAACATGCACCCACGGGCATAGATCTCGTCATTGACGTAGTTCCCCTTTTTCCAGCACTTGCATGCTTAGAGCCCGATCGTGAAGACACCCTCAGTGAAGTAGGCTCATCATCATTCTCTGACATCCATGTTTCTTCTTCCAAACCATCTTGTCGATTTCTACTTCTTGTAGTTGGCGTTTCATTTGATCCTTGCATCCTTCTCAGACAGCACCTCACAGCTCCAAAGACAAGCTGACCTGCATAGATCGCTCCCAAAACCATGAGCAAGATGCCAGCTGTCCAGATCCGATCGAAGACCTCGTCATCCTCGGCTTTGTGAGCTTCCGCTGTTGAAAGCAGCACCCCACCAACCATCATAGCACGCATTGCTGCACCATGATGCTCTCCACCAGCAGTGGGTTGGTCTTCACGGGCACGTTGATGCTCTCTTCTCGTTCTTCGCAAACCAAGATCATCAACAAACTGCGTAAAAGCTTGACCTTGAAGAGGTTTGGTGCACCCATCAGCGACAAGCTCAGTGCCCTTGAGGTGCAGCAACTTCCAACCTCCACCACGGTTGCGACTCGTCTCATCCAAGGCTTCTTTCAGCACACTGGCTCGGATTCGAAGATGCCGCGTGCGCCACGATGCTGTAGTGACACCGTGGGCCAAGTTGATTGCTGCGGCATTGTCACCATAGATGACCTTCTCAAAATCCCATTGTTGCCAGATGGAAGCCAAAAGTGCTTCGGTCGCCCTTCCCACCACCAAGGACTCGCAATATGCGATGAGCTCCGCCTCCGCAGTTGAGTGCGCCACAAAAGGTTGAACCCCACACTGCCATGCTATAGGAACTCCAGCATAGTACACCACCAAGCCTTGGATGCTTTTGCGGTCGGCTCCCGCAGCATATGAGATGTCCGAAAAGACCTCCAGCATCTTCTGATGCCGTCTCGCTTTCAATTGATCTCGGCGGCCCCAATCACCTCCAGGAATTGTTTGTGGATAGTGCATCCCACCAGGATTTCCATAAAGGTACTTGAGCAAGATGTACCCAATCTCCACCGCCTTCTTTGGATTCTTCGTTGTCAGCCTGCTCATTGCAGAAACTCCAAAGGCCAAATCTGGTCTGGTTCTGGTTGAAAGCCACAGGAGCGCGCCAGTCATCATCTGGGCAGTGCGAACATCGTTCGGGTCAATCTCCCCCACAAACTGCTCATCCTCCTCCGTGACCTTGAACGCAGGGTACTGCAATGATTCCTTGATGTCCCATCTTGTCATCAGCTCTTGTTCATACATGCCTTGGGACACATAGAAACCATCTCCAGCGGCACCCATGCTGATCTCGAAGCCGCAGTAGCGCAAGGGTTTGTCAGATGCCCATTCCACCTCCGACAGCGCCCATGTGTTCTGGATCGCTTCCATAGCCAGCTTCACTGTTTGTGGTTCGCCAGACACCAGGATGTCATCAACATACACTGACATCAAACCTGCCCAGTTTTCAGTGCCCGTCTCCTTGTTGACCTCCACCAGGCGCCACAAGTTCTCATCCTTGGAGTGGACAAAACGTCCTTCAAGAACCACATCTCCAATCTTCCGGTGCCAGCGCAAAGTGGGCAACACCTCATCACGATGGATGCCCCAGTCCCTTGGCGAAGAGACCAACCCGTAGAGGGCTTTTTCAATGATCCACACATCTTCTGCATCAGCCAACCCAAGGTGTTTGAAGATGGTTGGTACCTCCATGGCCGTGATCTTGGTGGTATCACGTTTTGGAGCGTTCAAAAACGCTACCCTGATGTCACTGCCTGCAAGGCACCATCCCCGCAAAGCCGCGGTTCTGATCAAGGCCCTGACTTGGCATCCATCAGCGCCTCCGGCGTATCGATCTCCTGTGCCAACTTCTTGATAGTTCCCGCAGACCACCGCACGAGATCTGTAAGCGCCGGTGTTGGCCTTTCGAGTGTGGACCATTTTGGCTGGAAGAAGCTCAATTGGGAGTTGTTTTTCTTGGGCAAGTTGTCGCAGTTGAGACTTCGTCACCTGCTTCACCGCCTGCTTTTGGTTCACCAGCTGCTCATACTCAGCTCTCACTGATGGCTCCCAATTTTTGATATTCTCCCAGACCTCTTTGTTGGAGACAGTTCTGGTTACCAAAAATTCGTTTTCATTCACCAGAGCTTCCTTTTTCCCTCTATTGATCATGATCAGCTCTTCTTCAACCTCCGCCTTTTGCACCAGCATCTCCTTCAAGACTGGCATGCACCACGCCTGTTCATCGGCTGTGCCATCGATATGGACCATCTCATCCATCACCAACATGTGCAAGTTGTGTTGCACCTTTTGTAGAAAACTTTCATATTCCTGTGAGGCTGTCAGGCATGAGCCACCGCACTGACTATTAGGCGCCTCCTCCTCTTCCCCACCTCCAGATCCGTCCAAAGATGAGTCAGGTGATGGAGTTGTTTCCAAGGTCCAGCTATCATCGCTGTCTCGTTCCCACGATGGTGCATTCACACGGCCAAGAGGTTCAAAAGGATCATCCTCCCCCTCGATTGGTGCCCGCATCAATCGATGCAGCATGGCGGGTTTGGTTTTTCCCCGCAGGCGTCGTGCTGGCTGAAGATCCATGCCAGCAGGGCGAGAAACTTCATCTCTTTCAGGTAAGTAGATGGCATTGTCAGCCCCAAGTGGTCGCGGAGCAGCACCTTCATGAACTTGTTGTTCTCCAAGAACTGCCGTCTCCGTCGCCTCAAAGTCAGGGGTGATGACATCGGCCGTGAAGAAGTATTTGCCCGTGTCGATGGACTGCACAAAATAGTTTGTGGAAGTCAGCGTACTGCAGGCATCTGGTCCAAGCACCAGAACTGGCTGTCGGGTCTCGCCCCACTCCTCATGGTTATCCTGCCACCATTTTCGCAGAGCAAATGCCTGAGTTCCAAACTTCAGCAAGTCACCGACAGGGTAGCCACAAGAGCGCAGTTGTGCACGGAGACGACGTTCTCCAACATGTCTTGCCACAAGCGGCCACAAGTTGATGTTGAACCTGCCAGCAGAGATCACAGTGCGAATTGCTCGCTTGGTGACACCAAGTTCTGCTTCACAGCGCCCATTGGCTTTGTAGTCATCCCCTGCCGTCTTTGTGAGGACAATGTCTCTGTTTTGCGCCCATCGTCGCAAAGGAGCTGCAAGAAATTCTCTGGCCCTGTCAGAATGCAACCGCATCACTGGAAGACCAAGTTGTCGCAGTCGGCTGTAGATCTTGGCAATGGCCGGCAGAACATGCTGGGAGTTACGACTTTCGATGGTCTCCACAAAGGTGATGTTCTTCACGGTCACGTTCATGGACTCCTCCACAAGCTTCTGCCAGGCCAGCAAGCAGCCATGTGCCGTTTTCTCGGCCTTTCGGTCCTCATCTTCACTTTGACCCTCCACCTCCACATTGTCATCCTCTTGCTCTTGCAGTAGATCTTGCCCTTCTTCAGCTCCATCTTCAGCTTCGAGCTCATCCAAACCAGGAAGCGGTTGATCTTGAGGTTCAACACCATCCGGAGAAGCCAGCGGCACACCATCCTTGGTGATGGGGAAAGTGTAAACCCCCACAAGCAAGTACTTGCACTGCTTCTGTTCCTGGTTGATGCCCGGCGTGAACTTGCCGCTCAAGTCCACCGACAAAGTGAACGCTTCCGGATGTTGAACTCGCCGATGTGGGCGTGCACGTGCCTGTGCTCTGACACAGTGCTGGCAATCTCTGCGAGAGGGCATATGGTCGTGGAGGTAGTGCGTTTTCCATGACTCGAGAGCTGCAGAGCCCAGGGTCCTGACGGCTGGTTGTTGAGGTAGATCAGGATGCCTGTCAAGCCACTGAACCCGCTGGCTCACGGCCAATGAAATCGCATTCTTCAGCCCAAGTGCCCATTGGGACCATGTTCTTGAAACTTCACATCTTTGATCAACGGTCATGGCTCGAAATTGAGCTCCAGCCTCTGCCTCATTGTTGGGGGCGCCTCGCACTCCATCAAGGTGCCGAACTTCTTGTACATTTGTGGCCAAACATGTAGGCTTCCTTTTTGGGTGCCCCAACGGATGTTGATCAAAATGGTACTGCACCAAGTTGTACTTCTCCGCCAAGGCCTTCCATTCTGCAGTGCGGAAAACTGAGAAATACCCATGTTGTTGCACGTCCTCTTCTGAGCGATATCGCTGTGGGTCTTCAGGCTGCTCCATGAAGAACTGTGTCGGAGGTTCTGTTTCCTCACGCATCTCCTCAGCGACCATGAGCAAAGACCAAAAACGAAACATCAGGACTGAGTCGGCAATCACCAGCTCCGCATCTGCAGGACTCAAAGTTGGGAGTCCATATGGGTGCTCCTCTGTCCGCAGCACTCCAGGGCCACCATCATTTTGATACCGCAAAGCTGACACCGTCCTGCAAGGCGGACCACCCAAAATTGCCCTGACACGCCCACTTGCACAAAGTGTGAGCAGGTAGCCAAACACATTCCGATCATGGAGATTGGCTGGTGTAGAGCATGTGGTATCAATGCAGAGCACCTCCGTGTTGGCATTGGCACATCTCTGATCCCAGTAGTTGTGATCCGGGCCAGAGAACAAATGGAGGATCACATGCTTGGCTTGGCGTAGTCGTCGGCGTTTGTGCCGGTTCCATGGCAAGTTGGACTCAAAGTTCTCTGTCTTGACCATTTCCAAATGCGGTGCTATTCTCATCATGACTTCATCAGGAAGATGTGGAAAGAGCTGCCGCAGCTTGTAGGTCAGAGCCAGCTCCAGGTCCAAGCGCTGCCGATCTACTTGGGTGTCATCAGCCAGCAAAGATCTCACCATCGCCAGCTTCCGTTGTTGATGCACCTGATACCACTCAAGCCACTCCAAAATCCTATGGCCATCCGCAAGAGATATCATAGGGCAGCCTTGAACAACTCGAACCTCAAACTCCCTGCCCTCATCATCACGCAATTGACATCGGTCACCAGACCACTGCAATGTGAAGTCCAATGCTGTGAGACCACCCATAGGAACAATCCTTGAAGTTGTTTGTGTAGGATGCCCCAGCAACACCTTGGTGCCTTTCTTGAGACGAAAGGCTTCCGTCTCACCATTGGCAAGTTGCACCACGGTTCTTTCAGCATTGGTCCATTCTTGTAGATCATGGGCTGGACGTAGAGCATGCGTGGCACCTGAGTCGATCAACACCCAGTTGTTCTCAGCTTGTTCCAGTCCTGCCAGTTGCATGACGTTGATCTTGGGCTGAACTCGCAATGACTTCAGAAGTTGCGTTGCCTCCTGTAGCAACTCATCAGCCTTTGTTCCTTTTGGATCACTTCCTGTTCCACCATCAGTTGACTCTTTTGTGATCTCCTCCACACCATCACCAGTTTTCACCTCCGCCGGAGACGTCGTTGTGGAAGATGTTGACCCAACCTCCTTGCCCTTCAGCACTTTTGTAGCCGCAGCTCCAGCTTTTCCACCAGGTGTTGAGGAACTTGGCGTTGTAGAGGCATCATTTCCACTCCCCCCACGTCCATAGCCATTTCCTCCCCCTGATCCGGCAGGATCACTCGGCTTTTTGCCAGTAGTGCGGGCTTTGCACTCATGCTTTCGGTGATCTTTTCCACCACATAGCCAGCACCGCTGCGCCTTGTCATCAACGCCATCCCAAGAGTGCAGCCACTTGCATGAGTTGCCCGCCTTGCAGCCCGACTCTGAGATGAAGTATTTGCACGGCTTGTCTGCCGTAGGGCTCGTCTTGAGCTTGCTGTCACTTGTAGTAGATCTTGTAGGTGTTTTGGGGTCGGTCTGCATCTGCTTCAGCTTCAAAGGCGTCTGTGGTGCCGACAAAGTCAAAGAGTTGGTTTGAAGAAGGACCAAGGTCTCAGCTTCGGCCAACAGGCATTGGCTGTAAGACCACAAGGCTTGCTGCGTTGGCATCTCATCCAGGCCCAACTGCATACGGCTTTGCGCAAGGCGAAATGCAGCTTGTGGATCTAGTGCTCCAAGTTGTTGAATTGGTCCATCCAGTGCTTTCAAGAGCAACACCCCATCTGGTAGCGTAGCATTGACCTCTTGTGCCCTCCCAAAGTGCCGTCTCCAATTCCTCAAAGCCGTTGCAAGCTCCTTGACATTGGGGGTCTTGGGAATGTTGGTGAGTTGCTGAAGCAAAATCTGCTTCTCCCCAGCCCCACCCGGTTGGAATCGGATCAGCAGCTTGTAGAGGATTGCAGTTGAAGACAAAGCTCGATCCGTGACCAGTGATTGCTGCTCAGCTTCTGGTATGGCCTTCAAGAGCATCTGAATGCCACGTTGTTCAGTGCGTTGAAACTGATGCTCCCTAAGTTCTTCTGGCAACCTTGGAGCTATTTGAATCCTTTGAAGTGGAGTACTCACCTTCCATTCTTCATAAAATCCACGGGCTTCACGCATAGTTGTTTCCCACCACCAGCCCGCTGCTCCTGAGATGTCTTTCATGATCGGAGCAATCAGGTGCAACCAGTCTCCAAATTGGAGAGGGCTGGAATCAGCCGGCAGATCAGGCAGCTCACCTTTTGTGTTCATGGTGGTGCCCATATTTTCAGGCCAGGGTGTAAATGGTCGACCCTGCCTTCCATCTCCAAATCCACCTCCCCCCACACCATGACCTGGAAGGGCTTTGGAGCGTCCAGGACCACAAGCATGTAGGTTCGCAAATGGATCATCCTCCCAACACCCAATGCGTCCAGGTCCAGGAAGATCTTCACGCCACTGCTGAGCCCGATCGCGTTCACGGACCGCACCAAGATCATGCTCAGCCCGATGTCCTTCATGATGAACACCGTGCTCATGCAAAGCCCGACCTTCATGAAAAACTTCACCACGCCTAGCAAAGGCCCGATCGTCATGACATTCCTTACCGTGCTTTGCCAGAGCCCGATCGTCAGGACATAATTCACCGTGCTTTGCAAAAGCCCGATCATGAGGACAAACATCACCATGCTGCACAAAAGCCCGATCCCGCTCACAGTGACCACCTGAGATGTATGCAGCCCGAACTCCATCAGGTACAACTGGAATGCCAGTGCCTGCCCGACCTTGATGAGATACATCACCACTTCCGCCAGGCTGCACAGAAATGCCAGCTTCACCGCGGGCAGCATTCACAGATGACGACCGTGCTGGGGGTCCAGATCTACCCTCAAAACTACCATTCCAGTACCCTGATTGTTGAAAGGCCATAGGAACTGAAACCCTGTTCAAAGCTGTTCGCAAGGATTGAACCTCTCTCTCAAGCCAGATTTGTTTCGCTTCACTAGCTGACAAAAGGCCATTTCCATCCCTTGAATCACCCTGAGGTTTCCACGATGTTTCCCTGCGCTTCATGCTAGGCTTTGATTCGCAGGTGTCATACAAACCACTGACAAAACTCGTGCATTCCATGACCTGCACATGTGGAATTGGAGGAACCGGTGGCAACACAGGCTGATCTTCTGGTGGTGGACCTGTTGGTACCCTTGTTCCATTCGGAGTGAATCTAACTACACATCCATCATTCCCAGGACTAGCTGCGTGCTCTCTGATTTTTGACCTGGGTGTTCTGCTACCATCCCTGCCCGGTCGCCCAGCTGGAGCAACCCGACTTGCACCTCTCGAGCTCTCCTCGGACTTCACGTCCACAGCTGACCACGGCGTTGATTCCGTTCCAGAGTTGGCAGGTGCAGAAGACCCTTTCTGCAGCTGACTCTTGAGATCCGCTAATTCTGACATTAGCTTCGAATTTTGGGCTCTCAAAAAGCCTACAAGCTCACCCTCCAATGCACGTTGAAGGTCATCTACATTCTCATTGTTGTCATCCCCCAAACTAGGCTTTTGTACCGCTCCCATGGTTTGAGATCCAGTTACTTCCCTGGGCATCACTCCTTCAGTCCTCATCTCGCTGCACCACTCCACTGTAGGCGTCTGACGCAACTTGCTCTCTGCAAAGCTGTCGCCTCTTCCCTTCCCAGTTGGCATACTCAGCGATTGATGGGGACCATCTAATGCACCAGTTGGAGAAACCTCAAAATCACTCCCCATAGGTAAGTCAGTTGGTCGCCTAGATTGCAGGGTCACATCATCACGAACTCTTTGAGACCAAAAAGGATTGGAGGATGCCTCACCCCTCGACGGCACGGAGTGAGCCCTCTCCATTGCCAACCCAACGGTCCCTTACGGCGTAGATGTTGGGCTCATAACCCTCAAAAGGGTCGGGACCTTTTCCCACAAGTTCGACAAAAATGCCTTCAAATGTAATGTCCATGTGAATTGCATGACGAGTATATATATATATATGTATGTATATGTATGTATATACATGTATATATATATATATATAAAGATGCATATATCCCTCTCTCCATCGCCAAGTTATGAATATATCTACCCTAATTAACCTACGTTTCTCAACCAATTTAGCTAAGCATGGGCCACAACCTTGTTTTGGTCCCTCCCAATTTCAACCATTCCCACATGAGCTACTGACAATACCACTGGGACTAGCTAGTAGACATGGTCCCGCTAGGATTTTTGATGATGGTTCGTTAGCGATAAATCCTTATCGGCGATGCCCATCATGGGTAAATAACTCCGCAGGAAATTCAATATTAAAAAATCAACCAGACCCACTGAGATGTGTGTATATATACACACGTATATATATATATACATATAGTTTTATGAATCAGAGGACGTTCTGGTTGGACGCTCTTTGATGAAAATCCATCCCCCTAACATTAATTTCAAATGCCCCAAAAATACTCACCATCAACACCACCAAGTGGCTGGAAGGTACAGAGCCAAAGGGTCTGCTGGGCGACACCGGGGGTGGGAAGGCCCATAAGTGACGTTCCTGGCAGGGTTTTCCCTTGATCTGATTCTGGGATTAGGATGGATTAGGTTGATTTATGGAGACATTTTTGCCCGAAACGATTGTGTTTATTGTTTTGATTTACGGGTAAATGTTCCTTCATCCAAGTCTCAGGAACATGGACAGTAGTTAAAAGGGCGTGCATATAGAGACATTTGCGTATATATATATATATATATGTGTGTGTGTATATATATATATATATATGTATATATATATGTGTGTGTGTGTGTATGTATATAGATATAGACATAGATATCTTGATCATAGCCAGTCATGTATCCACAGCATACAGGTTTACACATGTGTAAATGTGCGTCTGTACATTAAATTATGTACATGTGTGTGTGCAGTATATCAGTATGTAACTCTGTACATCGCACTATATACCCTCTGGTAAACTAACATAGCTATGGAAAATCACCATTTTTAATGGGAAAATCCACTATAAATGGTCATTTTCAATAGCTATGTTAAATTACCAGAGGGTACATATGCCGTTTCCACTAAGTTTCCATCACCGTTCTGGGTTTGCAGCTTTGCAGCGCAGTTTTGCGCCTTCAACAGCCGATGATCTTCGAGCAGCAGATGGCTGGCCCATCTGCACGACATCAAGTCTTGAAGGCTTTGGCGATCGTAGTAGAGCACCTGGCATCGGTTGAAGCGAAGGTGCAACTCATGCGAAGTGGTGCCACCTGCTAAAAGCTAAGTTGGTCGAGATTTAGTAGGTGAACTGTGATAAATTTCTGGGAGATATATCTGAACCCCTGGGCCACTGTTGGTTGATCCGATCGATCCCCCCCTGAAAGGCTGAACATCAACCCATTTCGTCCGGGCACCTGGCCCTGAGTATCTTGCACACAGACGCCTTCCTCTGGAAAAGGTCCCCCAAAGACTGGTGAGCTTAACAAGTCGTACCTCAAGGGGCTAACGTGGAGGCGGGGGTCACGGGGGTCACAGGGTCACATGGGATCAACGCGAATCATTTGGGGAGGAGCGTGGCATAGGTCTTGGATCATGATGGATATCATGGGAACAAATCATAAATCATCAAGGAACCATAATCATCATAAAACAGATTAATCATAAACCATATGATTATCATAAAACCATTATCATATGATATCATAATCATTTCATTATCATAAAAGAAATTCTAATCATTAAACCATATGATGGGGCCAACCAGTCTGGTCTTGGTTCGTCTTTTTTCCAGCTTGGTCAGTTGATCTCTAATCATCAAGTAATCATCAATTAATCATCATAAACTAGGGATTACATGGGATTAGAATTCTTTTGGATCTGAATGATCACAAAAGACATCTATAGAAGTGTTTATTGTAGATTCTATAGTAGATTTCACCCATCATATAGATGTTTTGCTTTCCAAGTCAGGTCATGTTTGAAACCCTCACCATCCACCGATCAAAAAAACGGGCTTTCTAAGAAAGTGGACCACCAACAACACCGACTGTGGGCCTGTGAGGATAGTCCCTATGTGTGGCAAAGCCAACAAAAACCAACCCCCAAAAATCATCCAAAATCGCCAACTATGTCAATGGGTGAGGAGAAAAAAAAAACATCTATAAACATCTAATAGGCATCTAATAAACATCTATAAACCATTGTTTGGGTGAAAAACGACATCTATAAGTATAATATAAACCGTTCCCAGCCGAGGCTCTCCTGCTGCGCATCGGCTCCCAAGGCGCAAGTCTGGGTCTCCAGAAAGCCCAAGTGGGTCGCCATCGCGGCACCGTATGTATGTGTATATATATATATATATATGTATATATATATATATTATCTTATCTTATACTATATTATCTTATCTTATATTATATTATATTATATTCTGTTGTATTATATTGTACTATATATATATATATATATTATATATATACACTATATAATGTTAATTACTCCGGTTTATGGCCATTTCATGATAACAAAATATGGGAAATTTGAAGAACACCGCCAGTAAATTTGGGGTATACACCCAATTTTTGCATTAAAAACATGTCTCATATGGGCCAGTTTCATTGGGCCGGGGGGGGGGGGTTCTGTCACCTTTAAAGTGAGCTCCGTTGAGGCCATGGCCACTGAGTGGATCCACTAAGAATCATAACTGAAACCATATCAAATTCATATATATATATACATATATATATATATATATTAGTCAAAAACCTTCATCCTAGAGACTTCGGATGTTATAACACTTAATTGTGTACTAATTATATATATATATGTTTGTGTGCGTGTGTGTGTGTGCGGACATGTATGTAAATCCATAAACCCCTTGGTTGCATGGTACTTCTACTTGAACGTGGCTCCGTGCGCTGCCACGAGCTTCAGCCGCAGCGTGAGCCGTGGAGAGAATGGACTGGAATACTAGGGGATGGTTAATACGGGCCCAAAAACCAACAATAATGGATGAATAATTGGTAATTGGATTACCCTCTGGTAAACGTTTACAGTTTGCTATTGAAAATGTCCATTTAGTTCGTTGATTTACCCATTCAAAATTGTGATTTTCCATCGTT